AAAATACTTCAGCTATTTAAACTTTATTTCGTTACATCTCAATTTATTTTATAAAGTGAAACACATAGCAAAAAGTTGAAGTTTTGTCTATCAAATCCATTAAGGCGATGGACTTTTGAAATATATTAAGTTGTTTCAAAGACCGAATTATTTTTTGGAAGTTATTTAAATCATTTGCAAATCGTTTGTGAAATGTTGAATTTGTTCTTAAGCAAGCTATTGAAGCTATAAAAATTTAGTTGAAAAAGTTCGACATTTTTTGGAGCGAATCTTTAAAAAAAAGATTTTTCCTAAGCAAGCTATTACGATAACCATTGAATTTATTTCATCATGCGAATTGGATGGCCCAAAAATTATATTTTCTAAGCTAGCAATTCAAAACATGAAATTATGAAACAGTTCAATCTATTCCATAGACCGAATCTGTTAATAAAACTTAGAGTTTTTCTAAGCCAGCTAATCACGCTCTAAGAAACTTCAAAATGCTTCTTTTATCGAATTGGTTCGGGATAATTTGAAGTTTTTCTCAAATTTTTGTTTCGATTATTTCAAGTGGTTTCATGAAGTGAATTGGTTTGCAAAAAACTGAAGTCAATCGAAGTGAACTGGTTTGCAATTTGAACTTTTTCTCGAATAGTTTTCTCAAATAATTCAAGTGGTTCCATGAAGTGAATTGGTTTTTCTAAGCAATCAATTTAAGCTATGAAGCTTGGGAACTGTTTAATGTATTTGAAAGACTGATTCGTTTTGCAAAAAAGTTAGAGTTTTCTCAGTAAAATTTTGATGCTATGAAAATTTGAAATACTTCAATTTCTTTCCTAAAGCAAATAGCTTCAAGAAAAGTAAGTTTTTCTAAATATGAAGGATAATTTTTAATTTGATTGTTTCACACTGAAATGAATTTGTAAGCGGATAAATTTTGACGGAAAAAGGGGCAGCTTTTGTCTACACTTGAACTTTCTTTAGTTTGAAGAATTTCGGCCTTTTTCAAAAAGAATGTATACAAGCTGTTTAGCTAGAAAACGAAGAATTATTTAACAGAAGCTTTCAATGATGAAAGTTACGAGACAAAACTTTCGAGAAAACAATTTACCGGTTGATCAGTTTATAGGTTCAGCATCTCTGCTTGTTTTTGCGTTGAAAAGGTCAAAACTTTGGTAATTTTTCAAATTTAAAAACTTTAGCAAATAAAAGATACCACTAGAACGGATGTTTAGAGAAAATTGAAAAAGACAATGATTGCAGCGGGGATTCTTTCAAATAAACAAAACCATTTTGCTATTCGAGGCGTTGTTTACATTGTTCTTCAGTTTAGCTTCAGTGTTTTTATTTTTTTTATGTTTTGCTTTAGAATTGGTCACACGAGACAACTTAGATTCTTTAAAAACTTAACATCTCAAGCAAAAAAAATTGGCAAAAAAATTGAATCCTAAATTTGGCACTTTCTCGTTAAAATGGATTAGGTTTCGATCGTGTTTTATTTTTGATCTACCAAATCAAGAAACTAAAAAATGTAAAAACATCAATGGGTCAAGTAACACAGAACAAAGTATGTATGAAGTATGTTTAAACTGAGTTGAGCGGAATTTCCGCTGGGTTAAATTCGGCAAATACTATTCAGGTTTTACTAGCCGCGGTTAAAAATCATCGCTTGGACAGGGTTTTAAATACGTGAAAAACTTCATAAAATATTTACGGTATATTCTTCAAATAAGTTGCAATAGTCTGGCAATCAGTGGTAGTATAGTCTGAACATTTAACGCAAAAAGCTGAAATTCGTGGAATTGGAAGCTGCGCATGATTTCAATCAGGGTTCCCAGATGCGATAGTAGCCCAATCAAGGTTCCCGATGCAATACAAGGAGGTAAATGAATCAAGTATAAAATGAGTTGCATGATGTATCTTTATAACATAAAAAAAAATACAACGGTCGCGAAACTCTACCCAGTCACGGATACATTTCCTTAGGTCGCTCCGGTTCATTTTAAATTTTTTTTTGTTCGCGCCGGTCACAGACAACTGCCCTTATGTCTCGCCTGTTACTAACGCTACATCTTGATCTTTAAATCTTTAAATTCAGGAAACACAAGATTTAGGTTGCGAAACTCCCAAGTTTGGTCGCGACAGACTAGAAATACTGAGTTTTGTTCATAAAAATTTGATCAGAAAATCACAACATCTGCCCGGGTAGTCACCCAAAATTGTCAAAACTTGCTGCAGTTTCAGTAAGTTTTCATAAAACAGAAGTATATGCTTAGGCCATTTTTCTAAGTTTGACGTTTTCTGGTGCACTTATTGTGATTATCTAAAAACGTGTTTGATTTTCTCATTTTTCACCAAGAACATTTCAGTTTCGGAGCTCCGTTAAATTGCTTTTGAAAAAAATGGCGAAAAAAAACTTAAGATCAATCTTAAAGAGAAATAAATGCTTTGAAAGCGTCGATCAGTTGTCGCCATAAAGAGTGCAACAGCTGAATTCATTATTTTAACTATCTTATTTGTTTGACTTCACAGCGTTCATTTACACAATTTAGGATTGCTTCAGAGCCTTCATGTATAAAATTGATTTTGAAATTAGTCACAAGAGACAACCGATGTTTCTGAATTTTCTTTCAGAGAAATTCGCACAAATATCTCTTGCGGGAGAAAACAAATTGAAAATATCCAAAAGTCTTACAGCTATCTCAAGCAAGATTTCAAGCACAAAAATAAATGACATGGATCTTTCAAATTTTATTTTCAGTTAGATTAAAATCTGAATTTTTAAATAGTTTTGAGCACAAAAGTATGGAATTCTGATAAACATCAAACATCTGTGGCTCACCCATTCCCTTTGTAGTATTCAGTTTTTTTAAAACCTCCAACGCTTGCAATTTTTTCAAACACTCCTTTTAGCTAAGTTAAAAAATAACTCCCAAATATAGATTTGATAGTTTAAGCAGTCTTTTGGGACCAAATTAAAAGCTTCACTTCGATTGAAATTTGTTAATCTTTTAATATCCTGATGGTGCAACTTCAGTTTTTGACGCACCAAAAAATTGGCTATCTGGCCGTCATGGAAAAACGTGTAATAAAAATAAGGTTTCTAGGCTCAATGAAACCAAAAAACGCAACTGACGTTACAAAACACGCCAAACATAAATGAGCTTGAAAAAATTTCTAACAAATTTGAAATTTTTCAGTTTCACCATCATTGAGTTTCACGCTGTTTTATGACCAATTAAAACTTTTAAATTTAAGCAATTCTTGATTTAATTTTCTAAATAACCATATTAAGTCTTCGTTTTTCCTACTTCTTTTTTACAAGGTTTTATTTGACTAAACCTTTTCAAAATTTTCTCTAACAACCACTTACTATAAACTAGAGTTTTTAAAAAAGTAACAGTCATGACTAGAAGATCAACTAAATATGAAGCCTTGTGTGTCGGTTGCTACCTCAAAAGCATGCTAACGATCGAATAAACATGGCTCACAGCATTTCTCAAAATGTTGTAGTTTGTGTTTTAGGCTATTAAAAGGAGGCTCTAAAATGAAAAAGTTGCACGATTAAGCCCACATTACTTATTTTAAAAATTCAGTCAATATTTCGATTTAACTTGGCCGTGGTCTGCTAAATGATTAGATCACGTGTGGTTTGATTCAATCCCGACATTTATGAGACTAGATTTGATACATAACAAAGAAACAAATTGACGCCATTAATGAAGAACTTAAAAAAAACGGAACTACTTTAATCACCTCAATCATTAATACTCAGAAAAGTCATCAGGGGTTAAAACACTTTTTTAAAAGATATAAATTACTAAGGCATACTGACTTTATTAAATTACTAGAACCATTAATTACATTGATTGCTTTAGACAAATATCATAGAAAACATTTTTTATTGCTAAAAATAGAGTTGGCACCTAAAAATACTGCTTCGTACCGAATAAAAATAACTAAACACTTTAAACTAATAATCATTGAGTTAGCATGAGGGTAGAGAGGTTTATAGATTTGGTGAAATCAAATGAAAGTAGTTCGAATTTGAAGAGACAATGCAAATAGGTTATATGTACAGCTGCATACATATATCAGTGAAACAATCAGGGGCGGATCTAGGATTTGATCGAGGGGGCGGATTTTAAGGTCGACCAAACTGATTTTCCGGGCTCTCAGATATCACTTTTGACCCTTCCCCCTCAAAATTAGTATATCTTGGCGCTGAAAGCGCCTTCAGAAAAAATTTAGCGTCCACCAGCTAAACAATGAAAATATCAAAATAGTACAAATGGTCCGTTGGGTCGGCAGGGGATCGAATCCTTGAAAGGGGTGGCGTCCGCCCCCGGAAATCCGCTGGTGAATAGAATTATTCAAAGTAGCTTCTGTTTGGTATAATAAGATTAGACAGAAAGCGGAAAAACTGGAACATTAAGGGATATAATTTATTTCCATTTTTAACGCAGAGGCGAAGCGGAGCTTCGCATCACTTGCAATACAACAAAAACAAAAAAGAACACAAAAAACCGACAACGAATCAAAGTTTAAAAAAAATAGATCATATAAACTTTCATGTCTCGATAGAAGTTCATTACAGGCAACCATGCCAGACACTTGAGTTTTAAATTAGCAAAAACGGAACAAAGTTTAAGAAAAGAAACAAAACCGACAATCTTTGAGCAGACAAGTTGAGCCGAAAAAAAAACACTTATTTTTAAAAAAATGTATATTATAAAGTCCCACCTTATACAACAATGGAAAACACTTGCAATTGCAACTATAATGAAAGTTGTTTTCATCACAAGAAAAATCTTTCAAGTCCCCCCCATGAAATTAGAATGAACAACACTTGCACTTACAATAAAAATTGTCTACAGCACAAGCAAACCCCGTTGTGTTCAATTTGAATTTTCAAGAAATTGAGCATGTCAGTCAGCAGCATAGTCAGCAAGTGATTCACTGATTTTGTTAAACTAGTTGTTAACTAGAAAAAATCTATATTCCAGTTTGATAACGCTTGCTAATCGCAAGCGTAAAAAATTATATTGATATCTGTTGTTTCCAAAACGAATCAAATTTCAGTGAATCACAACAGATCAATTATTAAAAACTGACAAAACGCAAGAATAACACGATATGCATAGAAAATCTAGTTTATTCAAAAGTAATTCAGTTTTTTGTTCCGACTTTTGCAGAGAGTAATGAAATATGTTTCAACGATCATTTTTAGTCTGCTTCTGCATAAATAAAACTTTGAATGTGATCAGAAGAAAAACTTTCAGTAAAGTACGCGATGGGTTGCAATTTTAGATTCATATTTGTCCCAATTTAGATATTTTAAGCATCAGAAACACTATAGAATCTAAATGTTTTCAGAGGTTATTTTCAAACAGTCAACAGTATATTAGACGAGTACTAACAAAATCAGGAAAACCAAAAAAAAACTTATGCAGTTACAATTAACTCAACGCAAAACGCATGAGCTTGAAAATAAGAGCTTTAAATATTTTTCCTTAAAAGAGCCCGACCCAAATAAATAGGAATTCCCAGCGTTCATTAACACTTGATGAATGGTCGAAAATAATAAGCGACTTACAAATACTTGGTAGTACAAATGAAAATTACAGATTTCTCAGTATAGTTTTAGACAGCTGGTCGAAGTTGTATGGGGCTAATGTCCTCAGTAGGTTGACAAAGTATGGCTTCAGTGATTCGTCTCTGAAGAAGGAGCTCTGGTCGAACATTCTCGCTGTTGTCTCACTGCTACACAAACAGTCCACCCATAAGTGCAGTTTGTGAGCCCTAAGCGAAAGGTAAAAATCAACAAGGATAGCCGGTTACTTGGCTAGTAGCACAGAATGTTCCGATCATAGTCTTAAAAAAGAACTAAAAAGTTTTCAAATTAGTGTCATTTTTTTGCGTAGCGTGATGAACAGATCTGAACGAAAAAACAGATCTTATACTTCGACAGTCATAGTAAAACAGGCCAATTGAAAACAGTTTTTGTTGAAAAATGACTAGAAAAGCGAAAAAATCATTCAAAATTCAAAGTTTCATTTTTTTAAATTTGAAGATTTTGATTCCCAAATTCACGCTACAAAAATCTTGAATTGCATAGAAATTAACCTAAATAGAGAAAGCTGGGCCAATTTAGTAACTTTTTTTATTCCTCTAGAAATCTATAGATCAAAAACCACTTATACAGGTCTTTTCGAGCTATGTGAACTTCCGTAATTGGAGAGCGTAATTATGGTTGCTTTTAAACTTGAAATTACATCAAAATCAGAATAGAGCATGAAAAATTTTTCCAGCCAAAAGAAATTTAAAAAATCCTGCGACCTAGAAAATAAAAAGTATTTACAATGATTCTCTAAAAGCCATGATAGATTTGATTTGATCAATTCGGCTAAATGTGCATTAAAATAACTTTCACAAAAACTCTTATACTTTGTTATAGAAGGTCAGTCATCATGTGAGAAAATGACCAGCCGCTTAAATTAGCTAAAATTTATCACTTGTTTTTAACATGAAAATCTGAAAAAACTGACGATAATGCGTTTGCAATTGCAATTCAATTCATTCAAAAAATTACGCTTACAAAAGCATAGAAAATGCATAAACTAACGAAAAAATTACTTTGCCAGCCAGGTTAAAACTAACACACAATTAATTTTATACACAAGTCAAAACTCGCACGGCGCATTTTGATCAACTATCAACGAATAAGTCCGCAAAAAAAGACTATCAAGCTCATACTAGTCCGATTTCTACAAACTAACAATTTGTCTACAAACTAATAATTATAATATTATAAAACATTATGGACTCCAATGGAGCTTTTCGTGGCCCAAAATTGAGTATCGGAGAACATGAACCTACAGAATATGCTGTCCACAACCAATCGAGTCTTGACGAAGGCGATAATTTGTATGGGCGACTGTTGTCAACTGACAGCGGCCGTGTATATCGATACAAACCATTCGGTACAAATATAATAGATGGGTCCCATTTGAGAAAATAGAAAAAATTCCCCGTTCTTAAAAGTAACGAATAGTTTGCTAAACCGCTTTTTGCTAACTGTCATTTTCAAGATTCGGAAGTATTTTTTTCATACGGTGAGCGAACTTAACCTCCGTTCAATTCAAATCTTTGAAGTTTTGCCATCCGCCCACTAATCCCTCAAACGCCTCTATTGGCGGGTACCATAGGAGGGTACAGTTATAGATATCCCGTTTCTGATTTAGGTTAGAGAACTCGATTTCTCGTTTTTTTTTTTTCGAATGAGCCATCTATCTTAATTGTACCTAAGACATCACAGATGATGACCCTTATGAAGATATCAACAAAGCAGGCGGAAAAAATAATGCACAGGAGCCCGGAATATACGATTCAATTGGACTGGAACGAAGTCAAGTGCTTGCTCTTAGAATTCCAAAAGCAGCCGACACGAGAGCCAACCAAGCCGAAAGTTCTATGAGCCGACAAAATTTACCTGAGCATCAAAAGCCATCAAATTTGCCAATACAACCAGCACAAAAAAAGTACCAGGCACCTATTGGTAATCCCGCGGTACAAAGTCAACAAGTTCGACCTCATTTTTCCCAAAACCTGGCCGGCAACGCTCCCGCTAATAATTCGGTTGGTGTTAGATTTACTGCCCAAACGTACAATGCCCCTCCATCGCAAACAAACAACATGAACAACGGAACTAATTCAAGTCAAGGGACCATTAATGCTAAGGCGCAATCAAATTATGATTTAATGTCCCATAATAATCCAAACATAGATAATACAGTTTTAAGCGTGAACAAACCTGCGACGACTCATAACAACCAGACCGAACGCATGCTCCAATATTTCGACCCATTAAAAGATGGCGAATTGTCACCCCCGCCAAATTACACGTCTTGGAATCATAGCTTAGAGTACCTAAACATGGGTGAAAATTATAAAAGCGACTTCCAAGATAACTTTGCTCTTTTTGAAAACGCCAAATTTGAGCAGCAAACCGATAGTTCTCAAGGTCAAAAATTTATCCAAAAGGTTTCAAGCTCTATTGGCGGAGGGTCGGCAACGGTAGGTCCAAGTGCATCGACAAGTCCTGTTGAAAATCTCCCTTCTAACGTCAGACGTCAAACCATGGGCCATCAACCGATCAACTTGCATGAACAGTCAAAGATTCTCCAAAACCAGAATGCACAATCAGTCCTAAATCAACATCAACAACAACACCAAAATCAACAACAACAACAACAGTTGCAACAACAACAGTTTCAACATCAGAGCGAAAAATTAAGAGTTCAACTGCCTCCGAGAAACGGAGGGGGTAGTTTTGAGAGTAGCGACGATGAAAATGTCCCTGGAGGTCAAATTGGTCCAACCGTTTTTACAAACCGATCACAAAACGGGCAAAACTCACTTGAACAACCATTTAATCAGTTGAATTTGGGACACAATTTCACAGGTGCGGGGTTCATTCCGATGAGTCCGGTGCACAATGGAACGCCCACATCAACGGCTGCCAACAGTATTAACGTCTGCGCAAACCTTTATAACGTTGTTGAAGATCCACCAGCATTTGACAATTCGCGTTTCGAGCCGCCTCAGAAAACGGCCATGGCCCAAAATGCACAGCAAACTAGAAGACCATCAGCCCCAAACCCAAACAACAATCCACTGCCAGGTATTTATACATCTACTAAACTCTTAGCAGAAACTCAAACGGAGAGTACCCCCTTGGTAAATTTTAAATTGTTTCTACACAACTATCAATACAAAAACTAACACGAACACTAAGGAATAATATGAATTAAAAATAATATTTAGCAACAGCAAGAACAGGAAGTGTTTTGAATGGAGTTTCTGCCATAATTGGTGATCAGTCACTTGTTTAAAAACAATTTAAGTTGTGGTTTGAAAGCAACCGGAGGTTAAGTGATCTCTTGTAACCATCAGTTGACAAATATCGGCTTAGTTGATAGAAATTAGCCTGACAAACATTGACTTAAATAGTGATATGGCGAGTAAGTCTCAGACGCAAAAAAAGACAATCGCTCAACATTTTTTTAAAAATCCGTTAAGAATGGATCTACTTAATAAGTTGAAAAAAAACTGACTGTCCTTAGACAGGCTGCACAGCCTTTGATAGATCATCTATGATTCGCAGAAGTAAGCAAATTACTTCCGATTTCGCGCGAACTGTGTTCATAAACTGGAGAGTAATAAGTTTCCTTGGATCTACTTAACAATTGCCCCCCTTTTAAGAAAGGGGGGCGGCAATTGTTAAGTAGATAATTATAACGTATTTTCGACCAATCAGATTGCAGCAAAATTAGAAGTCTCAATACAAAGTTCTAGCGCTAATTTACTGATTTTATTAATAGGGGTGGCAATTCTTAAGTAGGTACCAAAGGGAGGACAATTGTTAAGTAGATCCGTTTCCTTCTTTTTAGGTTCTGGCTCACAAGGTGCGAGATCTGTGAGTGTTGGCATAATGAGTTCATTGGGCGATGGTTTCATGCCCTATCAGGATCTGTGGAACAAACCATACTTTGACATGACGATCACTCTCAAAGAAGCAGGTATGGTTAAAATGGTTATCACAAACTTTAAGCTACGCTGTGCTTTTTACGACTGTTCCACTGACGCTTACAGATACCAAACACTAGCAAATCATAAAGTGGAGAACCCATGTTACTAAACAACCAAGAAGTTGGGTTAAAAAACATTTATTCATAATATAACAAAATTCTTGCCAGCTCGCATGTTAAATCAAATGGTAACTAAGCAGACGAAACGTGGACAGACAACCCTTGAACCAAAAACTCTTTTTTACTCCACCCCCTCCGAAGCACAAAAATAAATTTACGCACTTCTAACGACTTGTTATGAAGCAACTAAGCCGAAAAAACATGACAGTAGAAAACATTTACACCGCAGAAACCAAAAAAATCAAGAAATAATGAAAAGTAAATTATACAAAATCATAGGTAGTGTTCATACAAATTACAGGATAAAATCAACATAAGTTTGAGTTAAAGCAAAAACAAAAACGTTCAAGTTAAAATGAGCTTCAATGATGAGTTTTTGTCAACTTCCTTTCCAAAGCATGTACTTTGCTTAAAAGCTCAGGAGATTTCGCAATTTAGGCCTTCATTTGTATAGATCAGGCAATTGAGTTTCAAGATTTTGTATAATTTCCGTTTTTAAGATTATCTTTTGCTTAGGCTTTAAAAGTTCTAGGGCTTCAGTGGTTTCGGCGTACGTTATATCGGCCTAGTTACCTCTTAACAGTTCAATTGAAGAGCGAAAATAAAAAATGTGTTTTTGTGCTTCGGGGGACGCAACAAATAGGAGTATCAAAAATTTCATGGGTGATGGATTTATCACAAGTGTTGCGAAGCTCCACTTCATTTTTGTGCTTTATAATCAATTTCTCTAAAATGTTCAGATATTTTAACCCCAATATACCTTCATTTAAAATGTGAGATCTACTTAACAATCTCCCCCTCCCCCCTTTCAGAAAGGGTGGGAGATTGTTAAGTAAGTTGGGTTAGTCGAATTTTCGACCAATCAGAAAACAGCAAAATTAGAATTATCAATAGGAAGCTCAGTGCTAATTTACTCTATTTATTCATAGGGTTGGATACTCTTAAGTAGGTACCATAGGGCGGGGAGGGATTGCTAAGTAGATCCAAAATGTGCTTTTTATGATCTAGAGGACAAACTGCGTGAGCAGAAGAAAGAGGGCTGCTACATAGTTCGAAACAGTAGGAGCAAGGACGGACTGAACTTCGCCATCACTTTCTACTCAAAGAGGGTGGAGGGAACAGTGCGACACCTGAACATCACTTTCATCCCAGAGGCCAAACAGTGGAGACTGGGAAAGGTGGAGAGGGAGAACGAGCTGAGATTCACAAAGGTCAGATCACTTCACACAAGACAAAAAAAATTATATATAATAAGGCTAAAAAGTAGAATAAGTTAACAAATGGTCGAGACGATAACTATACAACGGTTTTCTATCAACGACAGTAGCCGACTTAGGAATTGAGATTCAATAATTAACCAAGGTCAGCTCAATTCACGCAAAACACATAAACATATGTAATAAAACCGAAACTTAAAGATATTAGAGAGAGCTAGTTAACGAATATTCGAAAGGATAGTTATAAAACGGTTTTCTATGAACGACAGTAGCGGACTAAAGAAATGGGATTCATTAAGTTCGACTGATTTAAAAAATCCAAAAGTAGACTCACCAAGTTCAGCTGATTGATTATACATAAAGACAAGAAGAAAATTAGGAATTGTTTTTTTTTTGAAAATGGAAAATTGAAATGAAATATAAAGTAGGTCCTATCAAACAAAGCCAAACCAATGATCGTCGGATTGACTTTTATCGATATCGTTGAAGAGAAAAAGATTTGAGAATCACCAAGGTCAGCTCAGTTGAAACAAAGCAAAAAACATAAATAAGAAACCGAAACTTAAAGACATTAGAAAGAGCAAGTTAACAAATATTCGAAAAGATAACTATCAAACGGTTTTCTATCAACGACAGTAGCCGACTTAGGAATTGAGATTCAATAATTAACCAAGGTCAGCTCAATTCACGCAAAACACACAAACATATGTAATAAAACCGAAATTTAAGGATATTAGAGAGAGCTAGTTAACGAATATTCGAAAGGATAGTTATAAAACGGTTTTCTATGAACGACAGTAGCGGGCTAAGGAAATGGGATTCATTAAGTTCGACTGATTTAAAAAATCCAAAAGTAGACTCACCAAGTTCAGCTGATTGATTATACACAAAGACAAGAAGAAAATTAGGAATTGTTTTATTTTGAAAATGGAAAATTGAAATGAAATATAAAGTAGGTCCTATCAAACAAAGCCAAACCAATGATCGTCGGATTGACTTTTATCGATATCGTTGAAGAGAAAAAGAATTGAGAATCACCAAGGTCAGCTCAGTTGAAACAAAGCAAAAAACATAAATAAGAAACCGAAACTTAAAGACATTAGAAAGAGCAAGTTAACAAATATTCGAAAAGATAACTATCAAACGGTTTTCTATCAACGACAGTAGCCGACTTAGGAATTGAGATTCAATAATTAACCAAGGTCAGCTCAATTCACGCAAAACACACAAACATATGCAATAAAACCGAAATTTAAGGATATTAGAGAGAGCTAGTTAACGAATATTCGAAAGGATAGTTATAAAACGGTTTTCTATGAACGACAGTAGCGGGCTAAGGAAATGGGATTCATTAAGTTCGACTGATTTAAAAAAATCCAAAAGTAGACTCACCAAGTTCAGCTGATTGATTATACACAAAGACAAGAAGAAAATTAGGAATTGTTTTATTTTGAAAATGGAAAATTGAAATGAAATATAAAGTAGGTCCTATCAAACAAAGCCAAACCAATGATCGTCGGATTGACTTTTATCGATATCGTTGAAGAGAAAAAGAATTGAGATTCACCAAGGTCAGCTCAGTTGAAACTAAGACAAAAAACATAAATAAGAAACCGAAACTTAAAGACATTAGAAAGAGCAAGTTAACAAATATTCGATAAGATAACTATAAAACGGTTTTCTATGAACGACAAAAGCCGACTAAAGAAATGGTATTCATTAAGTTCGACTGATGTAAAAAAAATCCAAAAATGGACTCACCAAGGTCTGCAGATTGATTGTACACAAAAAAAAACAAGAAAAAAATCGGAAAAAATTTCTTGTAGTTGAGCAGAGCTATTCGGGGGCATAATTTCGGAGTGCAGCCAGTATTTAGACAGCCGCGTATTCATACTCGTCAGTATTTAGACAAATACTGTATGAACCAATCAGAATCGAGAAAAGACATAAATAATCCAAAATAAATAATAATTATTTATTAATTTCTTCTTTGTCTCGATTCTGATTGGTTGAAACAGTATTTGTCTAAATACTGACCAGTCTGAATACGCGGTTGTCTAAATACTGACATGTAACCAGTGAATAGATGCTTCTTTTGTAATTTCTGAGTAATGGGGCATTTTTTGTTAGCAGCACTGTATGTTAGTGGAGTAGTGCATAGATGCGTAGTTTGTATTTCTGAGAAAAAGAGTGATTTTAATAAAATAATAGAGTAATAAGTAGTGCATCGATCAGTATGTTTAATTTTGTTCAATCTGAGAAATAAAAATTTTGTTAACAGCTTGGTTAGATGGGTACTTGGTATTTTTGAGAAATAGAATTTCAGCATTCATATAAAATACTACAAATAATCATTCGAAAAACATGAAATTAGGCCGAAGGATTGACATTCTGCTCTTTCTGCTGCTCTATAAAACATTCTGCTCTAAAGGCCGAATTCTGCTGCCAGCAGAAACCTTTGGTGCCTGGTCTGGTTGTCATTCACTGTTTCGATCAAACAGGGTGAAAACGAACAGATCCGGAATTATAAACAACACAGATGCGAATCTGCGCTTCGCAAATACTGGCGAAAACACGACAAAAAGAGCAGCTCTATGAAGTGCAATAATAAACCATAAAAAAATCGAGAAGTCTTGGATTCGATCTGCGAACTAGAACTTATGCGTCTCGCGCACTAATAACTCAGCCACTGAAGCTCACTAACTAACAAAAATTAGCCACAAATAAAACAGATAAATGCTGCTAAGAAATTTCCAATACTAGATCGTAGTTAAAGCAGAAAAGCCACCAAATAAGCGAACACTATAAAAAACACTTTTATTTGCGAGTTAGGTTGGAAAAAAAAGAAGGCTCGTACTAATACACTACGCTCTCAAGCTGGCTAGTGTAAAAGAGCACTAATAAATTGCTTCCAACCTAATCTAATAAAAGCAAAAATATATATGAATTTAAAATATACATACTTTTGTTTTTATTAGATTAGATTGGAAACAATTTATTATTACTCTTTTACATTTATATTTTATATATTTAGTCTTTTATATATTTTAAAGCGAATGGAGAACGAACTTAGATGAACCAAGGTTCGCTACTTTTACAGAAAAGACAAACAAATTTTTTACACAGAAGCAAAACTGCACTTCGCTATGTAAAAACGGCACACGGGACCCTCAAAATGCAAAAATACAAAACTGAGTCATTCAACTTTGAAATTAAAAATTATATATCCTGGGGTAAATGGAATTGAAAGTTGCGATTTACAAACGCCAGCGGTCTGTTTTCCCCATTGCTCCATAAAACAGGGAGATAAAGCCGAAGATAAAAAGATAATGAGAACTGCACATCAACTAACTATCCGCGTTTTTTAACTGTTATCTATTAATGTATTTTAACTCTATAATTGGCTACAGAGTTCGCTACTGTACATTATGGAAAACCGTTTCGTAGTCATGGTTTCGAATTCTTGAAGTTTAACACTCTTGAAGTTTAACGAAACGGTTTTCTATAATGTACAGAAGCGAACTCTGTAGCAAATTATTGAGTTGAAATACATTATAAGATTAGTTTAAAAACGCGGATATTTAGTTGCTGTGTAAGTAGCACAGAATGTTCGAATCAAATTCTAAGAAAAAATTACATTAGAATTTGTTTCTTTTTCCTCAAATGTGTGTCGTTTTTTTTTGTGCGTGGCGAGATGCAATAATCTGACGAAAGCCTAGAACTTCAGCATATTCGACAGTTACAGTGAAATTGGCGAACTGGCAACACTTCCTGACCAAAAATGACAAGAAAAACAAAAACAATTTAAAAAATCAACTATAGAAAAACTTCTTGATTTTTTTTATTGCCAAGACAGCGTTTAGAATCTTCGGAAAAAAAATTGCACTGGGGTAAAACATAAGTTTCTCGGCTTATCCTACCATAATAAAACCTGCTCGCTCTCTTTACGCGCTCGAAATTGAACTGAAAATTCAAAAATTATCATCCAGTTTTTCTGGACACCGGGTAAATTTTTGAATTTTACACCGTCGTTCGAATCAGGGCTGAAAGGACAACAATATGGTGTATCAATCCGATTACTATTAGAGTAACTAATTTGGCTAACAAAAAAGCCTGCTTGCTCGCTCACTTTATTCGCTCGAAAATACTAATCATAGCCAACAGACAGTTGTTTTCTTTTGGTACAAAAACACAACTTTCGAATTTCTATGAACAAAATATGCCTTTAAAGCTCTTTCACTTTCTAGAACAATTTACGAATGGCGCTTTTGTGATGAATTTAACTCAATTTGAGAAAACTGGATCAATGAGTAGAATTTTTATTTCGCTGGGAAATCCTGAAAAATTAGTTACACTCTCAAAACTAGAAATCGATCACTTTTTTCGTGACCTTAACACTTCTGCTGTTCAATAGAGGAGTTTGCCTTCCCTTCAACAAAAAGAAAAGAACCGAAATTAAAAAGATATCAAAATTCAAACCGCGAAAATGTAAATTTGAACCTGAACAATGTTCAAAACTTTTCCTGGAAAAAAAACCTTGCGACCTATATAAGAGTCTGAACTACCTTCATCGACTCTTAAACATCATAAACTTGAAACGTGTGTTTCTCGACAGTGAAAACATTTTCAGACAATTTTTTATTTTCGTTTTTTAATGTCGTTTTTAACGTCGTTCGAAGGGTTTTAATATGGGTGAAGGAACAACCATAATTATCAAACATCCCCTCGATAATACCTGAAATCGCCAAAAAAATAATGGTGCCCCGATGATAATGGATAATGGCAAAAACTGGATCAATAGGTAAAACTAGAAGTCGATCACGTTTTTTCGCGACCTTTACACTTTTGCTGTTCGATATTGGTGTTTGCCTTCCTTTTAAAAGAAATCAAAGTCAAACCATGAAAAAACAAAATTGAGCGTGAACAGATGTTAAGACTTTCCTGAAAAAAAAATCATCAAGACCTATATAAGAGTACTCTTTACGTTCATTACTCTTGAAAATTCTTCGTAATTTCTAAAAATCACTCTAGGCTAATAAATCAATTCGACTGAAAAGATAAAGTCCACCGAAAACTCCTTAAATTTGTTGCCTCCAAAACCCTTGCAAAAAGCAGAAGTCATTCACCTCAGTCTTTCTTCTGAGCTTTCACGATGGTAATTTGATCACATGTTTTGTTCTGTTTGTTCAGGTATCGCATTGCGTAGAGCACTACTTGAAGAATGGATTTGTGCTTGAAAATGGAGTTGAAGTGCGACTAGAAAAGCCACTCAAAACCAAGAAGACCAACGGTGATGGAAAAGGAGCGGCGAAAATAGTGGGCAAAATATTCCACAAGTGAACCCATCTAGTTTACTGAACTATATTTTGTGGTCTGATTCAATGGAAATATTGAAACTGATGCGATGATATTTAACGGGGGCGTTCAACAGTGCCAAAGAAAATCACTCCAATTTTGGTGCCAAAATGTCTGCAACTGCAAATTTTCTTGATTGCCGCACTTAATATGTTCAAATTTTAGGCACTGTTGAACAAAGTTTTCATTTTCGGCACTGTTGAACTATTTTGTTTCCCGGCACAGATGTACTTAGTTGTACTGCCCCTATTCGACAAATGAATTAATATTTGACATTAAAAACTAATGATCCGAGCAAATGTTAAAAAAATTTATATTTTATAGAAAATCTCCACCAATCAATTCAACTAACTTCGCCAGTTAGAATTAAATTTAGTCTAATAATGAGTATTAATTGAAATTAAAGGATCTCATAACGTTGTAATTATATAAATATTTAAAACTAGGGTGATATATTAACAAAGGCAGACCAGTTTCATTTAGGGCGCAGAAGAGGAAGCGCCTTGCAAGATTCGCTGTTTTCGTCCTCGGTTTCTCCCAGCTTCTGCAACGTTATACTCACTAATCTTACAAATCGAAGCCAACAATTTATTAACAAGAAGTACATTCAATATTAGGATTGATGTAAATTTCTCTCTTTGACGGCTGGCTATAGGTGCGCTTTTTTGTTCTGCGCCGATCGATATACGCCAGGCGTTCTCGTAAGAAATTCGTTAATCTCGACTGATAATGATACACAACGTATCAGACCGAGTGGATGAAAACATTCACCTCGATTGAACATTATTTGAAAATTGTAAACATAATACTGACGAATTTGCTAAGCACATTGACTGCCACCGGACTAAACCAAGCTCGATTCATGATAGGGATTGTTTTGTTCAAATTTACTATAATTACACAGAAACTTCAAATATTTGAGAACATCTTTTGATGACTTCTGATCTCTACAGGTTAGTATTTCCCAAACAAAATCCTGAAACCAAGAAATAACAAGAGAAGCCTGAAGAGGAAATACGCCTTGCAAAAGAAACTTTTCGACAATACTGGATTCCACTCTGCTGATTAAAAGTCAATTGTCTTTGATTCTTTCTTTTGGGAAAAAACTGTTCAGAGGGGCCGAGGAACTTGGTTACGAGGTTGGTATGGTTTTGTTTTAGGAGAAACTTATGGGTTGACGGTTAAAAACGAAAGAGGAAACTTCTGAGTCGTTAAGATTTAGTGGCGGGTTTTGATCGGTTAAAAGGTAGCCTGGATCGTCTTTTAAAGCACTTAAAATGAGTTGTCGAACTTGATGTTGGCGTGGGGTAAGCATGATAAAAACGAGATGGGTGATGCAAACGGTACAAGGAGATTAAAGACTGCAGGTAAGAGAGTGGTGGTTTAAAAAGTTCAGGATCTAGACTTCACTATGCACGTTGGTAGTGGAGCTCGTAAAAGTTGAGCTAGTGATTAAGCGAAAGACTTAAATTTTGGATGAGCTGCAGGTTATTAATGGAAGTTTTGTTGGCGTCGTGCGCCCAGGCTAGGGAGGGATAATCTAACATAAAGCGACTTAAGGCTTTCTAAGTTAAAAGTAAGGTTTCTTTAGACTGACCGCAAAAGGAACCTACTAATGCCTTCAAGACTCCTATTCTGCCAAGTGTCTTGTCAGTAGATCTGTTGCAGCGAGCTGCAAAGCATAGAGACGGGTCAAAAATAACCCATAAAAATTTTGGATTTTAAATAACGGAGAGGCTCGTTGTTTACAAAGACACAGGGAGTTTTGTAAAACAATCCTTGTTGTAAAGCAAAAGCAAGGTAACAGATTATTAGAGGACGCAGTTACTAGCTTACGGGGAGCGAAAAACTTAAATAAGTGGAGGAGATACACCATTTAATGAGTGCGATGCTGTTTCAACATCGGGCTTTGGGCGAGGGGGTGGAAATCATCAGCGTATGAGGTGAGGCGAACATTTTCGATGGGCGGAGGGCGTCAAATTAAAGATTCAACGATAAAACAGAGCCCGGGAAAACTCAACAGTGAACAATTCTATGGGGTCATAGTTGATTGTTATAAAAAAAGAAGACTTGACGGCCACATAAATAATTGCTCAGCCAGCGAAGAAGTATATCTCTTGGCAGCGGTGTCATGAATGAGTTCCACCAGTGTTCTATGACATACCATGTCAAAAGCCTTTGAAAGGTCAAGTGTGGCGAGGACAGTACGTGAGAGAGCGCCGTTAAGGTTAAAATCATCAGTGATGAAAAATGAAGGGTGGAGAGTGCGGATGTGGTGTACTTGAATGGGCGGAACCAGTGTTAGTGTGTGGCATTTAGGAGGTGCTCTGTTAAAAAGGGATGGATGAGCCTCTCTAAAATTTTGACAGCGGAGCACAATAGTTCCTTTTCAGGTTTGGGCAGGGTGATTACCTTGAAACTTTTCAACAATTGAGGGATAAAACTATCAGACACTAAAAGTTTCTACAAATAAGTCAAGTAACCAAGTTTAAAAGGTTTGAGGTGTTTGAGAACATAACAGAGGCCACCCGGATCGAGTGCTCGTGAGGGTCTGCCTCACGCAATGGCTTGTGTAATTTGTTGAAGGGAGAAATTTGGGTTATCGAGCAGAGAAAATTTGGCAATTTTGCGTTTAGATTTCCTGAATCACTGTCTTGACTGCTGTCCAGCTGGCTGAAATTGCCATACAACAAGCATAGCTGAATTCTTTTTAATTGAGCGAACATTATAGAACGGTCATTTAAACGCTATTAGGCTTAGTATGTAGTCTTGATATTTTGGAATAAATGATTGAAATGTTTTAGATTTTGACTACAGAAATGTGCAATATACGTTGCAAAAAACTCGATTTGTTGTGCGACTCAAACATTGCAAAACTATCAGAGTTATCATTGAAAAACAGACGTGAAGCTTTTTTTTCATTAACGCAAACCGGAAAACGGCAAAACGTAGCTCTAAAAACTCACAAAATGAAAAAAAGGTATGTCTTGAAAAATGAAACTTATGCAAAAAACCAGAAATGTACACACTATATAGAGATTAGGAGTCTCACACTCCCGTATCTGTGCCAAAGGCGCTTGAAAAAAAAAACTCATCAAAAAGAAGTAACAGCTGCTAATAAATTGCCAATGCTATGCAGCAAAGTTCCACCTAATGGAACATTTATATTGTCGAGTTGGGACAGAAAACGTCGAATCACCATGCAACACTTTTCTCATTAGCTCGCATATGTAACCATAGCCAACGGACTACAGACAGTTGGAAAATAGTCAATGAACTCCTTTTTGAACTAACACGAAAAACTAGATGGCCTTAAAGCTCTTTGAACGTCTAAAACAATTTATGATTGACACTTTCCTGATAAAATTAAGCGAATTTCAAAAAAAAAGAACCAATCGGCATAATTTTCATTTTGCTGGGATACCTGATATTTAAATATCATTTTCGAAACTAGAAGTCGATCACGTTTTCGTAATTTTTACACTTTCGATGTTCGAAAGTGGAGTTTTCCCGGGTTTTAACAAAGGAATTGAACTGAACTTGAAAAAAAAAATTATAAGTCAAACCCCGAAAAAAATTTGAGCCTGAAAAAAAACATCACGGCCTATATAAAGGTCTGATCTACGTTCATCGACTCTTAATAGTGGACATACTAGAAGACCAGTACAATTCCGCAGGCAAAACTAACTCAACTAATAGCATATATGGAACCAAATTTAAAAATTGCATACGAAATCTCCCAAACGATATATTTCATACGAATTTTTATATAAATAAAAAATCCAAAATTGGATAATAAGTGCTCAATTCTTCGTTATTTCAATTTCAAGCAAAATTATAACCAAAAAAACAGTTAGCGAAGCTACGCTTTACAATCACATGCAAAAAATGTAAATAGAAAGCTCTAAAAACGACGAAAAAAAAGAAAATTATGCCTAGAAAGAAAACCAAATAACTTCAAAATATTTACTTGATTCAAAAGACAACTTCGGCAAGGGACACTTGATTCAAACTTTGTAATTTCACCTTGCATTGACCGATTTCCACGCATAGTTGATTCACAGATATCAATAAGCAAAGCATGCACGTTAAATAGACAAATCTAGCTGGATCACACGCGGTACAGTTAACTGCATGATTGCATGCGCATTAAATTCGAGAACACCGAAAAAAAAATACTCTTTAAAATAAAAAATAAAAATAAACTGATTTATAGCTTTTTTTCAAAAAAATGACACAGGTTGAGACAACTAAGCCGATTTGAGAAAACTGGATCAATGGAACTCTTTTTTATTCTTTAGCAAAATTTTGAAATCATATTCCGGTTTGAAACTCAAAACAAATCAGGTTTTGTTTTGCGCCATTTAATTTTTAATTATTGGGGAGCCTAATTTGACTTCAGCAAATCAATTTGAGTTGAACACAAAAGTTAACTTGCAAAAAAATTGGGTAGTGAAGAACTAACAAAATTAAAAGCAGTTAATTAAAAAAAAATCGGATAAGCAGCTAATTTTTTCATTTCACTGGAACTTATGAGAACCAAAATTCAAAAAGGCAAGGAAAAATTTTACATTCACATTAAAACGATTTTTAATTGTGACAATGGTGTTCACTCATGCATTTATGTTTGTAAGTCAATGAACTAAGTAATTAAAATAGAAACCAAAAGTTTAAAGCCAGTTGAATTTTTTTCCCTATGAAACCCACACGAACTAAAAACGCGAAAAATTACAATTTTCATTAACACTTAATTGGAGCTCAGTAGCAGCGAATAGTGCTGTGTTCAAAAACTAATGACTACCGACTTCTATTACCAACCTGAGTGCAAAACAAGCGAGTATATGAAACTTCAAATCCTTCGCAAATAGTGTATTGTTGAATCTGCTAGTGGCCATGGCCACGTCACTCTCAATCGGACTCAACTGGGTCTTGGCCGCCAGTTCGTCCTTGAACGAGATGAACAAATCCCACGCATGTACCGATCGGAACATGGTGGGGGACTTGAGACCGTAATGGAACACCTGAAATGATAATTTTTTCACAATCTAATACGTTTTACATTTTCTCAGAGATAGCTCTTTTTTGAATTTGTTTAAATTTAGTTGAAAACTAGAAGATCTATTGCGGTTATGTTGAAATGCTACTTTTTGCACACCCAAAACTTCTAGAAATTTCTCAAATTTTGCAGTATCGAGTTAACACCCCCCAATAGCAACAGGAGAAAGCGCTGGGCACAAAAATTGCATTCGGTCCATCATTGACCTGCTCCTTAAGAAGCTTGGAAATTCGTAAGCATATCTATTTTCTAAACATTTCGAAGATATCTTACTAATGAATCTTCTGTTATTTCACAATAGTAACCACTTTCATGCTCTCATTAAATAGACAATGATTTAACCTCGTCCCGAAATGACCTGGATATCAAGTTGTTCTAGTTTGCAATACCAAAGATGTTCAGATAAGATTTACAGGGATAGCGCGTACGCAGTCCCTACACTAAGAAATTGTGCGTCCGAGTTTCCCACTTAGGGGAAATCGCAGGGGTCAACCTCCGCGCTGTGCAATGCAGAGGCCTCACCCTGGACCACCTCTCTGCTTGATCGGAGGACGGTCGGCGCCAGGTAAGTATGAAATTTTCATCGAAAAGCCTCGAACAAAGTATAGCGATCGAACCTTCTACAAACAGCGACCCTGTAATATCTTATTCTTTTAATAGCAGTAGACGCAATTTAACCGTTCAATAAGAAATATCTTTTTTGGCCACTAATGTGAAAACTCGTTTGACATATTCTAACTTCGATCATCATACATTTAGTATTTGAAGACAGTCGTATGTGCTCTTGCGTTAAACGAGAGAATTAAGTTATGACCATATTTGGTCAGATTACCAAATATGGTAATGTTTAGATCAAAAACTGACTTTTGATTCCGGCATGCAAGTCAATGAGAAATGACAGCCAATCACAATTCTAGGCCTTAATAATCAATTGAAATAGCAAAATACAAGCATCCACTTGGTGTGCTTGCAAAACAAATTAGCATAGATTCTGCTGTTCAGTATATGTCGAAACAATTACTACAATTAAAATTCATCGCTGTCATCGACAAACAAAATTGCACCAATCGAACAATTGTCATTTTTGTTCTTAAAATGACATCGAAAGAAAAAGTTCTGAAAAAAAATGAAAATTACATGAAAGTCTGTTTTTTAATCCCAATTTAAGTCTTTTTTCCGACCATTTATTATTTCACAAAGACAAAAAATTAAAAACCATAAAGACAAAAATGTTTACCTGCAACAAGGCATTCATGAGACCTCCAGGCCCACAGACTAACTTGGTCAACTCATCCACTGGAACCTCAGAAGTCTCACCCCCTCCACCTCCAGCCGCATTACCCGCCGTGGGTACACCCTGAGTGGTGTTTGATGATTGGTGGTCGGTTGATCCGAAGGGGCCCTTGGGCGATGCTAGTTCGGAGTAGGCACGCGAGTAGAACCTGGAGAACCCTGAGGATGGTTGAGGGGGTTTATTTGTAGTCACTGGCGGGGGCACGGTCGAGGAATCCTAAACGTATATTTCAGTTGGTTTTAATTTCCGAATTTCAAAGACAAAAATACATCGTTAATGCGCGTTTGTTTCAGATTAACAACTTTCAGATTTTACTTAAAACTTATAATAATTTGAGAAAAAAGAAACGTTTTTTTTTCAGAATCTTAAAATTGACATCCATTTCCGAAACAAAAAGTCAACCACGTTTTTTTTTCATGCTATTTGCGCTTTTTTAATTGTAGTGTAACTTGCTTTCCATTCAGTAATTTAATTTGGAATAAGCTTCAAGGAAAATCCAAAACCAAACCGCAAAAAAACCAAATTTGAGAGCGAACTAATTTTAGGACTTTTTCCAAAAAACCACACGATCTAAATAAGCGTATTCAATTCATTTGTGGCACGTACATCACTAGGAAGACGCAAAAACTCATCTAAAATTGCGTCAAATAATACTCAATTAGTTATTGATTCTAACTATTTATCGCATTATGATGCTTTTGCTATAGTACCTTATCTAAACTTAAGACGGACAGCGAATGTAAAGTTTTTTCTTCGATGGGGCTTGATTTTCAAAAAAAAAATCCAAGCTCCTAAATAGATACTGTTTTGTCCATATTTTTACGCCGCAACCAACCTTCTCAAATAATGAGCCAAATACTCACGTTGTTCTGGTAAAAATGTAAAGCCTTCACCAAATCATTGACCGCATTACCCAGGCTCTCTTGCAGTTTGCTCGTTTTGGGCTTCGCGAAAACTGTCAAATTTTCTGTCAACCGCGTTAGAGAACTCCGTCTGAATGACACACTAAACAAGTATGATCAATTATTGATGCTTTCCTTAAATAAGGACAAAGGCCAGATGGATTTCTATGACAAAAACACTTTATAGCTCTTTAACTGCCAACGTCCCATGACATAAGCATCAATAATTTCATCGTGCTTGGAATAGTTTAATTAGACTGAATGTCAGTTTTTAAATATTAATCGGATATTTTTCGACTGTGAGCCAATCTTTTACCAATCATTATTTTCCAATTTTATCATCTTATGGTGTTCATTAATGATTAATTAATCCAAGCGAGCTTTTCAATCCTACAGGTGGTAGAGCCAGTTTCTCGAAAAAAGTATCAAAAATATCTGAACCTGAATGAACCAGGAGACGGAAGTGTCGATCCAGGGGTTGTTGATCTAGCTGGTTGGGGTAGAAAAGGACGTCGACCTCTAGTAGGGGTAGCTGGCGATTTGCTGCGGACAACATTTGGAATATCTAAACACAATTCCATAAACTTTTTAACCGTCAAAAAATGGGCCACAAGAAAACGATTGAATTAACAATTTAACTCAATAAAAACATGAAAACGATATTTCTAAATAATAAATTAAAGATATGTTGAAAAATATAAATATCTATTCAATTGATCAGCAAACATAGTAGTTCAAAAATTAGAATTGACAATAAAGTTAACTTTTCAAGAGAACAATTTCACAGCAGCTGAAACAGTGTTCAACACGCTATTTATTTCAAGCAGAAATTTCCTCGCAAGTTGGCCATAAGCTTCCGAAAAGTTTTTTGAAGGTAACTCAAAATATCATGAAGAACCAAGAGAAACTTATTTCCTTGTTTGGTTCTGGGACCTGTCAAAAATAAACTCCCAAGTGAAGATAACAATAAAATTGTGATAATTGCTGATATGAGTGTAAACTCCAATGCGACTTCCATAGGGTGTAATGGACTCTTCAAAAATAGCGGACGATTCTGGTCTGCTCGTATTCATAATTTAGATTAGAACTTCCACGTCACAACATTCTCCAATAAATCCCATAATAATTTAAACTTCCACATGAGAAAATTCAAGAATTGAGAATATTCTAGAATGATCTAGACGGCGTAGAATAAATTTCCGAATTCTGTCTCTAGAATAGACGCCATTGTTTCGTACACGTCCTTCAGTGCTTTCTCTTTGTTGTTGATGACCATGTAAACTTCTCTCTGGTGACTGATTCTGCCGTACAGCCAGTAGCCCTGGTTGTTCTTCGCTGAAATACACAAAATGGAAAAAAATACATTTCAAACACGAAAAAAACATCGCACGGTCTTCGAACTTTTTGGGACAAATTTGATCAGTTCATCGACGGAAAATTCAAAAAATAGATTTTGCGAAAATAAAAATTACGGAATCAAACAATACGTCCCTTTTGAATTTAAGTTCAATGCCGTATCAGAAAACCTTACACCAAACTAACCCATTATATGTCACAGTCGAGAAGATTTGAATACAAAATTACCAACGTTAACTGATATAATATTCTTGCAATTTTATATTCAGATTACCTTTCAATCAAAAAATTCAATCATTATCATCCATTTTTCTTTATATCAAAAATGATACAACTTGGGTTTTATCACAGAAAACACGGGTCTTTTTTTCCGCAGTACGGCCGAAAACAACATATATTTTAACTGAACTTCCCGTTATTTTTCAAATCCTTTTTTCGTTTGCTGGATTAGGTTTCAACCAATCAGATTCAAGCATTATGGTTCAATTTTCATAATAAAATAGAATCCGTTTAGGCCGAATAATAGAAAAAAACAAAAGGCAAACCCAGTCTCTCGATAAACTCGGACTGTTTGTTGGGATCCCTGGAAGAATGCATAGGTTGATTGTTGAGGTCATTGTGCAGATCACACAACTGCAGCATCAGCTCATGACTAGAAGCAAGTCTGTTCGCACTGTTCGATCTGTCCGCGTTCTGAGCTCTGCTACAGGACAGTATTGTTACTTATTATCAGTTAACAGAGATGTCCATTTAAATCCACACAAAATAACATCAAAATTATCGGCTCTTTTCCAGTTTCCCATCCCCTCGTAAAATTACAAAATAAAAATGTTCAAAAAGCTTTTACGCGGCGTTTTGCAAAAAAAATTTAAGCATCGGTTTCATTGTGCAACGTAGAGATTATGAGTCTCACGCACTAACCACTCAGCCACAGACGCTTAAGCAATCATAAGCACTAGCCACAAATACAACAGAGCAGATGCTCAGAAATTTCCAATGCTAGAGATCAATATTATAGCAGAAGTTCCACCAAATAAGGAAAACTTTTAATGAACACTTTTATTTGCGAGTTAAGTTAGAAAAAATAAAGTTCTTACTAATAAACGTCCCTCGCAAGATCGGTAGTTATTTAAAAAAACTGAAAGCCAATTTAAAACAAGGATAGTCGGTTACTCTGCAAGTAGTACAGAATGTTCCGACTAGTCTTAAAAACCACACATAATTTTTTTTCTTCAAATTAGTGTAGTTTTTTTCTGAGTGGTGTGATAATAGGATCTGAACAAAAAACAACAACAAAGGCGTATTCGAGAGCCATTGTAAAATAGACAAATTGAATATCAATTTTTGATGAGAAATGACTAGAAAGAAAACAGTAAAAACATGTTAAAATTGCAGATTTTTTTTGAATTTTTGATTCCCAAAATGGCGTTAAAAAATACAAAACTAATTTTACTCGAGTAAAAATATAAATAAGCATAATAAGGCTATTGTAAACGGCTTCATTAAGCGTAAAGAAACCTGCTCGCTGGCTTTACTTGCTAAATTAGACGAAAAAACAAAAATTTCAAACCAGTTTTTCTCAATGTTTAATGTGGTTCGAATCACCATTGAAAGGCCTTTAGAAAGATATATCACTCAAGCCAGTCTGATGATTTTTTGTGTTAGCTGATTTTGCATCGAAAAAAGAAAAACTCACCCGAATACAAATACAATTTCAATGGTCGGAGCAATTATTGAAAGGAATAAACAATTTTCACTCTTTTTAAAAAAAAAAAAAAAGGCCATTTAACTATGAACAAAATAAAGATTTCAAATCTTTTCAATTTTCAGCTATTTTCCAAATTTATCTATTTTTGTGATCAATTTTTTGCCCAATACTTTTTTAAATCGAGAAAAAGACAACATCAGACATGAAATAAGTACCATCTGTGCAATTGAAACTGTTTAAAAAACATCACTGCCAATAGGATCTTTTTTTCCACTCAAATTTCCATCAAGTTGCCTTTTGGAGAAAAATAAGCGCATACTCAATGTTTATACACGCTAATTTGTTTTTTAAACTTAAATTTGATTCTATAACTATTTATTTTCTGACAATCATCTTTCGCGGCAGACCCTTCTAAACATAACATACTTGCTTCATTGTTCTAAAACTAGTTACAATGATGTGTTATAAAATTTCTATTAAAGCGTTATGTTACGTTGTAAAACGTGGTAGAGAAAAATCTGTTCACAAGAGTTGGTTTGCTCACAACGCAAAGTTTCATTGCATTATGACAAAGTTAAAAAAACTTTCTATTGAATTTCAGTAGTGGGGAGGTAGGGGCTAGTTGGAAAGAGCCGAGACTTCTAATAAATTTTAATTTCGAGGCTAAGCTACGCTTCGCAAACACTTGCGAGAACACGATCAAAAAGCAGCTCTATCAAGTGAAATAAGAAGTAGACATAAGCCTCAAATTAGCAAAAACTCGGCTACGTGTCGAGTTCTAATCTGCGACCTAGCAAATTTGAGTCGCACCCACTAACCACTCAGCCACGGATGCTTAAAATCCCCAAAAATTAGCCACCATTAACGCAGCTACATTGGCTAAGATATTACCAATTCGATGCAGTATAATTAAAACCAAACACAAAAAGATACAATTTTGCATGTAATATATTGAAAAGCATAAAGCCAAATTATCTATGAACACAAAGGCGAAGCTGCGCTGCGAAAACACGACCAAAAAGCAACTCTATCAAGTAAAATAAAAAGTTGAAATAAGCCTGGAATTAGCAAACTCTCGGCTACGTGAAGGATTTGAATCTGCGACCTCGCAAGCTTGAGTCTCAAGCACTCACCCACGGATGCTTAAATTCCCCATTAATTAGCCACTAATAACCAAGCTACATATGCTAATCAATTGCCAATTTGCTACCGCAGAAGAGCACCAAATACAAAAAAGAAACAATTTTGCATGTAATAAATTGGAACGCGTCAAGCCAAATTATATTTAAATTATGCATTTCAAAACAATTGCGAGTCAACTTTTTACTATGTTAAAGTACATATGACAATATACTGCTACCGCAGCCTACCGATTCAAAAGAACCACCAAAAGTAGCACATTTTTTTGCTACTTAGTTTGGAAAAAAGAAGGTTCGTACTATCACACTCGCTCCGCAAGATTAATTAAGCATTTCAAAAAAAATTGCGAGCTACATTGAGCTCGAAAATTTCTTAAATCGAGCTTTCAATCATTGTAGTGCTGTTTGAAACAAATAACTTTTTTCGGTTCATTTGATGAAATAAAAATGCATCAGCTGAGTTTACTTTTTACTAATCAAATGCCAAAGCACATGATATCATACTACTACCGCAGCCTACCGATTCAAAAAAGCCACCAAAAGTAGCAATTTTATTTGCGACTTAGGTTGGAAAAAAAGAAAGTTCGTACTAATACACTTTGCTTTGCAAGTGTAAAAATGTTCACTTACCTACGAACAAATTAAAGAATTCATTAATTGGCAATTTTCAGCTTATTTCTTAACTTATTTATTTTAATAATCACCTTTTTGCCCAACACTTACTTTAAATAGAGAAACTGACATCAGACCTGAACTTAAGTACCATCCTTGCAATTGAAATTGTTTAAATGAACATCACTGCCAGTAGAATTTTTTACCCCTCAAACTTCCATCAAATATTTTTAACTCTGTCATTGCATTATGACATAGTTAAAAATATTTTTTTAAATTGAATTTCAGTAGGGAGGGGGTTGTGGAAAAGAGCCGAGATTTCTCAAGTTTTTAAAAAATCAGCTGGAGTCTAAGTTATCTTAATATATTTTTATTCCGCAGGAAAAAAAAGAACTAAACAAAACTTAAACCGGAAAAAATATCAAATTTGAGTGCGAACAAATTTTAATTCTAATTCCCTAGAAAAAAAAACGAAAAAAAAAAACATCATCAAACTTTATATAAAAGTCATCATTACAATCATTGACTCTTTAAGAAACCAGCTGCAGTTTGTTTAATCTTCTTTTATTTAACTACACTGTCCTGGTGGCCAGATTCATTCTATTGAAGTAAATGTAGCAGACTAGTTGTGGATGCATCTGTGGTCCCCCGTTACCTCCAGTATTTTGCGTCATTTTGTGTCGATCCAGAGAAATCACGACGTCATCAGAGAGAGACGACAGTCCAGGGCCTGAAACAATTAAAGATCTTAATTAAGACGATATTTATCCACAAGGGAAAGGACCACTTCAGTCACGGTTGGAGGGGTCCCAGTGTCATCCGCCTCCTCAAGGTGGGACGATTGCGTCGAAATGCATGACATCTCCCTCCCCCACGGTTGGTCTTGCACTGAGCAGGACCGGGGGCTAATACTAAAAACGAGGACCAAATACGACCTGTTCAGCTCTTGACGGAGAACGCCTGTTGAATACCTGCTTAAGAATTACATGCATTTTTGCAACTTTTCTGGACTGGGTAATGTTTACAAGCAAAGTTGACTATTCGAATATCCACCTCTATAAAGGACTAATCCAAAGGCTAAAAATATTCGAATATTCTACCTACTAACGAATTTCTTCAGCCCCATACAAAAAGGAGGAAGGTGGTTACAGCTATTCAAAAACTCATTAGGTTTTTTTGTTTCAAAAACAATTCTCATTTTTGTTCATCTAGATCATCTAGGTAACTTATTAAACAAGGCTTGTCATGAAAGCTCACTTAAAAACATTAACTCATGTATTGACATAATAACAGGTACAATAAAGGACACGACATCAGTGAGTAAATGGCGGCTCTTTTCCAATTTCCCAAACGCCTTGTAAAATTACAAAATAAGGCCGTTCGAAAATTGATGACGCGGTATTTACATATAAATGTTGTTAAAATTTGTTCACTTGTTCACGATGAGACGTTTTAAAGCAATTTCTAAAATGAAAAATCATTCAAAGTAGATTTTCATATTTCGAAAATCGAAAAAAAATCAAAGCGGGACTGGAAAAGAACCTAAAGGGCTTTTCCTCGACAACCCCCCCCCCTCACCTTGGAACTTTTACTGGTAAGAGTTCAAAATTTGTCTCACTACGTTCGATTTTTATTGTAAAAATTGACATACTGACTAATTATGCGACAACGAATATTTTTGGTTTTCTTAAGTCCCTTTATAAAAACGACTCTTTATAACAAAGTCGATGCCCATGTCAAGACACAAATCAATAGGCAGCTAACTGTCTCGGCTCTTTTTCCTACCCCCCCCCGAACAATGTGAACAATTAATTACTTGTAAAATTTTGCAGGTGGGGGAGAGAAAATAGAGCCACTGGCTTTTTTGGTGTTCTTCCAAGATGCGATTTTTTATTGTTATTAGTTGGGTAAAAAAAAATCGAGTCTGTTCCCTTCGTGATAAGTCACTACGCTGCGTTTGTGTAAAAAACGAATAAATTTTTATCATTATTATTTTTATTATAAGTGGTAAAAACGGAATGAGTCAAAGTGATGTGCTGACCTAGAAACCCATGGACCCTCCGGAAGAAATCCAACTTCAGTTCTGGTTTGGATGCCTTGTCGATCAACAGACACACCCACATGTTCTTGGACCTGTAGATGACCAGCCAGTTGGCTCTCAATTTACTCTCTTTTCCACCCGTGGCTGAAAACGAGTCGCCACTTCCGAGGTACACTGTACGCACAGATTCTGAAAGATAAGAAAGAAAATTAAATCAACAGGACATAAATAAATATCTTCGCTTCGTCCATTGGCACTCAATTAAACAAATTCCGGCTCTTTTCCAGTTTTCCCCTTTTCAAAATACCGAGTTTTATGTTTGTTTTACGTGTTATTATGGCTAAATGCGTGATGTTACGCTGTAAAGTATGAAGAACTAATCTGTTCAGAATTGTCGATTTGTTCACTACACCAAACTTCCTTGCATTATGACAACGTTAAATAGACTTTTCGAAATTGAATTTGAAAGGGGGAACTGGAAAAGAGCCCAATTTCCAACTATCACATGTTGTTAAGTTATAACCCGAATCTCTTTAACTATACTGAGCGCAAAAACAAAGTAAAAAAAATTATGAGCAAGCTTAATCTAAGAGCAAAAACTGATAAATCGGGAACCCATGAGAATCGAGCTAACAACTTGTCACAAAGCGAGCAGCTAAAAACTGCAGGTTGAAAAGTCCTTCGAATACAACGGTCAATAACAACCTTTAAAGAGCAGCATATTCAAATTCAACTTCAGCTTTGAAAGGGATAGCGCGTACGCAGTCCCTACACTAAGAAATTGTGCGTCCGAGTTTCCCACTTTGGGGAAATCGCAGAGGTCAACCTCCGCGCAGTGCAATGCAGAAGCCTCACCCTGGACCACCTCTCTACATGATCGGAGGACGGTCGGCGCCAGGTAAGTATGAAAACAGTTCCAAAACATCTGACCAACAAAAAATTATATAACGTTCTACACTTGGATAACTTAGTGGTTACCTTCTTCCAACTATGTTTTGTAAGAAATTCCATCAACTTTTTACGCCTATTGCTATTTAAAAAGACGCCAATATTTTTAGCACATTCACACGCATTAAAGAACCGTTTTTTATTCGACGTTTATAGTTCACCGTGAAGCCTAACAAAAACCAGAACTAAGTTATGGCCATATTTGGTCCAATTACCAAATATGGACATGTTCGGATATGAAGCTTTATCCAACTCTTGCATGAACGCCTTTTTCTGTAAATAGCCAATGAGAATTATTGGACTATTCGAGCTGCTCTTGGTCGATTTAAGCAAACAGTTTTATACCAAGAGTGAAACATCAAATTGATTGCGATAAGCATGAACAAGTGATAGGTTACCAGTGAAAAACGATTGAAAAGAAAGACTATTTAGGCTAAATTAATACCACAATTGAATCTTGTTAAGACTAAGTTGATCGCTTTGCAAAAACAGGGCCTTGAAAAAAATGACAGATTGCTAGAATGCGATAAAGATATCAAACTCGAAATTAAAATGTTTGATCTGTACTAAAAGATACCTAAAAAATGGGAAAACTCCATTTGTTTTATGCAAAAGTTTTACTCCAAAAGGGCTGAATCTGGCTAGATTCTCGTGGTTCTTTTCAGTTACGTAAAGGCATATTTGAATTTTACCGGATTAAAAAATTTAATTGGCATATCAAACTAACTTGATTGCATCTGCCCCCCCCCCCCCACTCAATTTACGAAATTAAAATCTTCCCTGTCATCCTACCAGTTAATTTGGATTAAAATTGCTTAGCGCTGAAAGTCGAGATTTCGATTCTGACTGTTTGAAAATCCAAGCTAACAGTCTTCCCCAAAACTGCTTTTGAGGGAAGAGCTTTTCACCAGGTTCGAAACTCTTCGTAAAAAAAGAAATGCAAAATCTCAAATAATTATTCACATCTCACATGGTAACTTTACATGTAAGAAATTTTTTTCTGTTTCTATTTTTACACTGGCATATTTTATAGTTGTTTAGAACATCAAAAGCATTTTAAATATGCTTTCATCTAACTTTCAGATCTGCTTTCAGATAAAATCAAAGAGATGAACTATAATAGCCAGGGGATATTTCCTTGCTTTTGCCAAAAAAAAATGGAATCCTTAACATTCAACGTACCTGCGTCGCCACTAACAGCATGTGGTACATTATGGAACTGATCAATGCCACTGCCTATATCCCCAAACTCCTCCCCTTCTGGTCCATAGGATGGGTGCACAAACTGACCAGTGTAGGTGGGCACAGAGTCAGTCACCAATAGTTCATTCTTCAGACTTTCCGGGATGACCTGTTAAAAACGGTCAATCAAATCAACATATTCAGCCCCAATTAGTTCATTATAATTCTGTTGGTGACAAGACAAAGATTTTATGTTGGAAATTGCCATTAAGAATCAAGGATTTTACCCACAGCGTTAGCCATTTTTGATCCAAACTCGACATTTGGTTGAAGTAGAACTATCTTAATTTGGTCTGCTTACTGGAGCTGATGTTAACTTGGTCTTAAACCTATATCAGCATGATAAATTTTCACAACAGTCGATAGTTCGTAACAGGCGACAATTCGTAACAGGCGAAAAATCGTAACAGGTGACAATTAGCAACTGAAAATTAAGCGGGAACACTGATTCATGCGCAGTAAAACCCTCGTGCCGGATGTAAAAGCAGCGGAGCAAGCGTAATCTACTTGCCAAAACTTTGTTACGAATTGTCGCCTTTTACAAATTGTCGCTCTGTCGTTGAATTTAAATGTGTTATTTATCAGTATTTTTTTCCAGACATCTTATATTTTTTATATTCGCGGTAATTGATAAAACGTAATTGATATTCGCGGTAATTGATATCATATTAAAAACCTATTGAATTGGATCTGGATTCCAACAAAAAACAAACAAGTTCTGAATTTTTGCGTTTTCAGACTGTTGATTTAAATTGTTCGGACGAAACGCATTAAACTAGAAATTTAAAACAAGTTTTCCTCAAATTGGGTTGACTTTAGGTTAAAAAAAATGATAAACACAACTTGCTTAGAATTTCAGCAGAATTAAGATGGTGCAAATTGTTTTGCAAAACTCGGGCCCAAAAAATGTTACCCCAAGAATGGATCATTTCGGCTTTTTCAGTCAAACAAACAATTAGTTTACAAAAAAAAATTCAGAGAGAAAACTACCTTCCTTTTCAAAAATAAATCGACCGGCCTCTTATCAATTGTTTTATCTTTTCGTTTTGGTCGAATAAGTGCCATAATAAAGTTTTAAATTTAAATGAACGGAAAATAGTTTTTGAAACTAATTTTTTGAAGCATTTATTTCTTCACGGTTATCGCAAACGAGTTCACAGAAAAATCACGACTCGAGATACACTGAAGCGTCTAATATGATCTACCAAGATCATTGAAAAAAATTGTTAAGCGAGTAAATGAAAAAACAATTTTATGAAGTTTGGAAACAATAATTTTAAACTTTATTATTTAAAAAAATTTAGGCTGAAAACATGGAGGCAAATTCAGCGACGATCATATTTATTCCTTAAGTTTTGTGAACTCAAAACACAGCCAGCAGAATCAGTATCACAGAAATCAAGGGAACAGAAAAAAATGATGTTTTTTTTCTCCGAAACTCAAAAAATGAAAAGGCTCAAAAAATCAATTATATTAAGGCACTTACCATTTCAGGAACCTTTCATGATTAACCCTTTTTCATAAAACTATTCTAAACTAAAACAGTCAAGTTTTTTTGAGCCATTTGAATTTTTGTTTTCTGAAAGCGTCATTTGCCTTCTTTTAACTATCCGACAGAAGGAAAAAAATTAACACAAGGAAACAATAAAAAAACAGACTTGTTTTTTCAATAACTTCAACTTTCGGATTTTGAAGAAAAAAAATCATCCTCTTAAGGCTGCTTGAATTTCACAAACAAGTTATGATTGGTGCTTTTTCGACAAATTTAACCCAATTTGGATCAATAGGTAAAATTTATAATTCGCTGGTGAAATATGATAATTAAATTTAAATTTCGAAATTAGAAGTCGATCACGTTTTTCATGACCTTTACAAATTTGCTGTTCGGTGATTTGTCTTTATTTTAAAAAAGGAAATTAAGTGAACTTGAAAAAAAAATCAAAATTCAAACCGCGAAAAATCTAAATTGAGCGTGAACAAACTCCTGAAAAAAATAAACAAAACACCAAGACCTTTATAAGAGTACTCACTGCCTTCATTACTCTTAACAATCAAAAGTCGGGCCCAAAAAAATATCGCATTTGAGCAATAACAAAACCGAAAAAAAAACAAATGAAAAAAGCCTTGAAAAAGAAAAGAAATGACCCCCCAAACTGAATCCCCAAATTGGAGACAAGAGTCTCACATTCTTGCATCTTCTTTATGTTCTCTTATATTTCTCAAAACACTAGCTACCAATAGTGCTGATAAACAAACGCTTTGAAATTACCAAAGCTATGTATGAAAAAGCCATCAAATTAGCACTTCATTTCGAATTGGGTTAGAAAAAAAGTGGATTTGTAATTTAACCATACGCTCGTTAGTTTAGATAATATTTTACTGAAAAAAAAAACAGCACGACAATAATACTGATAACCGATTCCCCCATTAACCCTAAAAATCCACTAAATATTGACTATGCAATGTGAACTGCGAAATTGAATATTTTCTTCATCCAAATTACTTTCACATTTAAACTCTGCAGACCACGGAAATAAATTAAATACTAAAAGTTTGTTGTAAATGAGTCAAATTGACTATTCGAATAGCAGAAGTTAAATTTATCAGCAAATAGAAATGTATATTTAAATGGCAATATGAATTACTTAATTGCTACTTTACATACTCAAGAAACAAAAGAAACAGTTTTTTCTCAATTGTATTACAAAGAATCAAAATGAGAACCAATTTTTCAAACAAAATAACTAACAATGAGAGGTATTAATCATGATTTTATTACCTTTTTGACCATGTGTTCATAGAGTACTTGAGTGTCTGTCTGGTTGAGACTGCTCCAGATGAGGAAGTCCAGATACATGAAGAAGCTGGACACCTCCACTCCAGAGAAGCCGATCTCAGTGAACAACTCGTGCTCCAGGGACCCTAACAACACAAATAAACAAACGCCATCATTTAGTCAAACCAGCACTTGTATAAAGTATTTCAGCACTCTTTTAGTGTATTTCAGCACCCTTTTAAGTAATCAGTCTTTTTATGAATTATTTCAGCACATTATGTATTTCAGCACTCTTATAGTGTATTTCAGCACACTTTTCAAGTAATCAGTCTTTTTATGAAGTATTTCAGCACTCTTATAATGTATTTCAGCACTCTTATAGTTTATTTCAGCACATTTCTAATGTAATCAGCACTTTTCTGAAGTATTTCAGCTCACTTAAGGTGTATTTCCGCACCCTTATATTTCTGAACTTCTATAATTTGAGACAATGAGATCAATATTGATTAGTAATCAATATTGAAATTGATCAAAATACTTTAACAGCATCTAAACTTTAAGAAATCTTCTAATTTAAAGCCGTACGTCATGAAAACTAATTTATTAACTACATTTTTCCCTATGGTTCACCTGCGAATGACTGCACCCTGAGGTATGTGTCTTTGTCTATAGGGAGGAACTTGATGCCTTCGAAGATGGTCAACACGTCACAGGAGGCGAAGTCCAGTCGCTCAAAGTAGGAGGTGAAGAAATTTAGCTGCGCACGCAGTTTGTCTGAGAAACAGAGTCAGAGAATCAAGATAGCCTTATTTTTGAATTGGTTTGACGGCAATTAGGAGCGGTTAACAATTTGTCAAAATTAAAACACTGGCGGATTGAAACAGGGGCGAATTAAAACAAAATTGAAACACAGAGTCATGAACGCAAAGAAACAAAAAAACTATTTTTTAAACTTCAACTTTCGAATTTTAAAGAACAAATATATGGCCTAAAAGCTCTTTGCATTTCAAGAACAATTTTTGATTACATTACAAACTGGATCAAACGTTAATTTTTTTATTCCGCTGGGAAATCTGAAAATTAAAATTTACTTTCGAAACTAGAAGTCGCTTATACTTTTGCTTACCGGCCCCATTACATTAATACTTTTGTCTAAGAGCGCCAATATATACTAATTTTGAGGGGAGGGCGCGCCGAAAAAAACGCAATTTTTTTTGGTCAAAATTTTTCAAATGTCAAAAGCGGCCTTTTATGATCTGGTTTGAAAAATTTTTCCTGCGGTGCAGACATTTTGGTCTAAACACGGTCCTCATAATGACTTGGGAGACACCTCTCTCCGAAAAAAACCAGATCCGCCCCTGGTTTTGGCATCTGAATTTTCTCATGTGGTTCACCTCCGTTGGACTTCTGAGGATCATGAATACTTTCAAGAACTAAATTTTTAACCAAAGAGTTTTTCTGTTAATTTTTGACACACCTTCGCCACATTCGTCTAGAATGTTCTGGAATTTTCCGTGGAAAAACTTGAATGCCTTGTATGCCTGCTTCAACACACTGCCGTATACTCTGTCCGGCACTTTGCCATGGTCATACTGGGTCACACTATGGCCACCTGAACCAAAAAATATAACATGTTCACTTATGAGACATATAAAAAAATTACATAATTGCGTCTTTTCGATTTTTAAGAAACTTTACTTTTAAAAATAATAAAAAAAAGTTTTTATAACATTTTAACAATTATTAACTTAAATCACATTGAGAAAATGTACGTAAAAGCTAAACAAGCAATATTCAGCGATTAATTACGAAAAACATCACGTGAAAAACAAATATGTTCAAAATATTTTGTTTAACTTGAACCCCAATTTTTTGCAGGAAATTTCACAAATCTCTTAGCTATAAGCGTTACAACACCTGTAGCATTAGTGTCTTTTCTGGGTACACTCATCGTTAGAATCATGAAGAAGTTTGGCTCTGGGTTGAGGTAATACTGGCGTCTCTTCTCTGTCGTCACTACTTCTGCTGATTCGTCTATAACAGTTGTCACACAGCTAATTTTTTCTCAATTTATTCCAATTTTTCTTCGAATACTTTTTTTTTGTGCCACACGCGTTCTCCAGAAGCTCGACCAAGTAAAATCATCCAAGTACTTTATTGATATTTAACTAATAAAAATTGTCCGATTCACAGCTATCGTTGAGGCAAAAGATAGAACATGGGCTCATAACAGCCACTTCATAGCAAAAAATCGATATTTATCTTTCAGAACCCTCGCTTCAAAATCCGGCTAACTTCACTGATACCGTATTTTAACATTTTTTTGCGGTACTTTACGCTTATGAAGCAGGGTGCAAAAGTTGGTTTACTGAAATAAACTAACCAAAAACACGACCCAAAAACACGAACCTTAATTTTGAGCGTGATTAATTTTTAAGTCTTTTCCTAAAAAAAAATCGAACGAAAAACACTAAATAAATGTTTCCACTTAGTTTATGAACACTTATAAAATCAGCTTCGATGTAACTGTTTTTTATTTAGTTCATGAACACTTATAAAATTAGCTTCTACGTAACTGTTTTTCGGTAACTTCCCAAATGGTATAATTCCCAAATGGCATAAAAAAAAGAAATTTTTCCCAAATGGCATAAATTCCAAGTTTTCATTGTAAGTCAAACGTTTTCTCTCAGTTTCTTATTCTAATATTTTGCCAAAAACGAAAACATGTGAACAATATTTGGAATTAATTGCTTCCAAACAAATTTTATGCGTTTGAACACAAGAAGCTTATCAATAACCGCAATCTTTTCGCTTTTGATAAAAAAAATTCTACAATTTTTCCAGATAAATGTCAATCAAAATTTGAATTGACAATTTGACTAATTTTCTCACATTTTTCACAAAAAAGTTGCTCTCGACTTTTTCAATGCAACTGTTGCATGAAATTTATGCCATTTGGGAAATTTTTCATTTTTATGCCATTTGGGAATTATGCCATTTGAGACATAATCCTGTTTTTCTATTTAGTTCATGAACACAAGAAACATCAGCTTCTACGTAACCGTTTTTTATTTTGTTCATGAACACTTAGAAAATCAGCTCCTACGTAACCGTTTTTTATTTAGTTCATGAACACTTATAAAATCAGCTTCTACGTAACTGTTTTTCTATTTAGTTCATGAACACTTAGTTACATAGCAGCTGATTTTATAAGTGTTCATGAACTAAATAAAAAACGGTTAGGTAGGAGCTGATTTTTCTAGTGTTCATGAACTAAAAGAAAAACAGTTACATAGCAGCTGATTTTATGTTTTTCTTTTAGTTCATGAACACTAGAAAAATCAGCTCCTACGTAACTGTTTTTTATTTAGTTCATGAACACTAGAAAAATCAGCTCCTAGGTAACCGTTTTTTATTTAGTTCATGAACACTTATAAAATCAGCTCCTACGTAACCGTTTTTTATTTAGTTCATGAACACTTATAAAATCAACTCCTACGTAACTGTTTTTTTATTTAGTTCATGAACAGATAAAAAATAAGCTGCCTGAGAAGTTCCTGGTGAACCCAATGATGGCCTGAGCCAGTCCGACCACATTGATCTGGTGTGACTTGGTGGCACTCCGGGGCATGAAATGGAACACCCTCTCGTCCTCCCTTCCCTCTTTGTTCCCGTACAGCTCATTCAGGATACTGAAATTAATTGGGATTTGTGGTGAAGTACTTATCATTTCACCTTTGCATACATTTGTTTGCCGTGTACGTCACTTTTTATCCTGCATGAATAAAAAAAATAAGCTCACCATCTGAAGCATTTTCTATTAAGGTCAATTTTTTTTTACATTTAAGCATCAAGTTTAAGCAAGCGCCAAAACGCATTAACGTCACAAAGCCAATTCAAAAAATTGTCACCAAAAAAAGGTTCACTTGAAGTTTTGAGTAGAGATTTATCTTTTCTGTGGTTGACACTTTTCTATGTCTTACTGTCTACAACTACAATGTGTTTTATATTATTAAAAACCGGTATCAAAAAATCTGAAGGAAAGATTAAATACCTGAAGTTGACTAGTTCGGGGTAGGTGGAGTTTACGAAAGAGTTGACTGGAGTTTCATTCGCCATAATGGAATAGTTTCAATTAACACGACCCAATACTTTATGAGTAACTGCAAATCAGAATACGAGAATCGAATAAATTTTCAATTAAGTAATTTTCAATTTGAAAAGACTGTGAACCATTTTGAATAAATTCATTTGCACATCTAAAAGAATTAAAAACTCAACATCAATTTAGAATGATCAAAAGAAGAAAATTGTTTACAACGATAACCTGTAACACCGTTTCCAGCATGCAGGTTTTATTCCACCATATTTTCACCAGTTTCATTAAAAACAAATGAAAAGAAAAATTTCCCCGTTAGATAAAATATTCTCGGTACTTTTTATTTGATACCTACTTCATACATTTTCATGCGAACGCTTCCTGATTCCTCAAAAATGTTTTTTTTAACAAAAAAGACCATATTCTACGGTTTCCTCCCAAATGCCATTTTTTGTACATAAACATCAGATTTTCAATGTAATAATTGCTGTTACGAAGTTGTTTAGAAGTAAACGTGCTTGTATTTGCGTAATCCAGCCACATGCACATTTTCAATTCACGTTGACGAAAGTCAAACACAGAAAATTTAAACCTAAAAAAAGTTATCATAACAAAAATGAGAAAAATTTTTGATAGAAATACACGAAAAACTTGCTTTTGATAGATCTTTTCAAGATTAGTTCTTTTCGAGATAATTAATCCAGATAAGATAGATTTTCGAGATACATTTAATCCAATATTAGTATCTTTTAATTCATTTTTATAATTTCATTTTGTAGCAGCATGTATGTCTAACCAAGTGGTAATTTTGAACTTAAATGTTTGAGAAAAAAATGGCATAGGGAAAAGGGACGGTTGAGAAAGCGAAGCAAGTGATGAACAAACTAACCCGACTCCTTCAGGTTACGACTGAGCAGTTCTGCAAACAACAGCCTCTCCACAGCCACTGACTTGGTGGCCCTGGCGTCCAGTGCCCCCCTGAATGCAAACGCATCTCCCCAGGTGGAGGGGGTGCTCCCATACTGTGGGGGAGTGCAGTCTCCGTCATTTTCTCCTGACAGGTCACCGGTACGATTCATACCTTAAACAATCAAACAATGAAAAGTAAGCAGAAAATCAACTTGGCCGAAACTGACTTCCAACACAGAGCCTAAGCTTCATCTTGCAAACGCAAGCGAACAAGCAGCAAAAATAAAATAACCAGGGAAGAAATATTTGTAACCACTATTTTGCTACCTGACCAGAATAGTGATTCGAAAAAAGAAATAAATTTAGAAACCGTACCTGACGAGTCCTCAGCTCCCAGTCCAATCCACTGAGCACAGGGGAACTTCCATATATGGCCAGTGAGACTGTTCCTTATTAGGAGAGTGTCCATAAACCAGTTGGATGTCTTACACGTTCCCTCACAGCCAATGCGCACAGTTAACAGACGGCCCAGGTTGTCACACTTAAAACAAAAAAAAACATCTGATTGAATTTTAGAGAATAGTTTGTTCGAGCGCGTATATAAATTAATGGAACAAAAATTTGTCTTCTAAGTAATAATGTCTTCCAATTAGCAATTTCGAACAGATTTTTGGATAAAGAAAATAGAAAATAACAATTTCAGTTCTCCCTCTATAACAAATCCTCACTATAAACTCGTCTAAATTTTCTGAAACTTTTATGTTTTGAAATATCGATCGAAACACGATTAAAACAGCATTGCTCACAGTTGAAAAGCTATATCTAAACTACCTGAATGAAGTATATAAATATAGGCAAAAATTTTAGATACATTTCAGAATTAAATTATTTACTGTTATGATAAATCACTCGAGCTTATGACGTTTATAGGCGTCAACTGATTTCCGTGGGGAAAAATGAAATAAAAGTTCTTGCTCGTTTTTTTTTCTAATCACGAGGAGTGAGCAACAACTCAAACCAACTCACCTTGAAAGCTAACTCATTATTATCCGACTGCAAATACAACTTCTCACTTTGGTTCAAACTGCCAGTCACTATAATCGTGATTCGGTTCTCGTTAATCCTCGGAATTGGACAAACGTGCAATTTATACGCCACTTTACACACTGGAAAATTATCCGTGAATGAAAAGAAATCAACTGCGTTCAAGGTCAGAAGATGGTAGGTCAGTTGCGTAATCGTATCAACATGTGAAAACTCAGTATCATCAAAAAGGAAAAACGAATTCGGTCTGTAAAGCTGACGTAACAGAATCTCATCGCCGAGTAATTCTTTAATATGCGAGGCTAAAACTTTTCTTTCAATTGCAAGTCGAATCCAAGCTCGAACTTTACTAGCTTCAGTCTTCAATTCGACCATTGATTGCACAATACGTATTGACTGCATTAGATTCTGCTGGTAGAATTTGATTTTAAACGTCTGCAAAGGGGTTGAGATCGACAACTGGCTGGAAGGGTGGCGGCCTCCGGCAGTCGGGGTTTGGGCCATTCGAGGCTCGGCGCGGACCGTGTTAGGGCTGACGGGGAGGGATCCGGCGGATGACAGATTGTTCCGATTGGGAGTCCGCGAGGGGGTTGAGAGGAGCATTTGTCGTTTTCCAAACTCGACTAGATGTGACCATAATGGCGAGTGACCCTAGAATCATTAATTACTTCATCTTATTTGAGTTTTCGAAAATTTTTAGCAACAAAAATAGCAACGATAACATCCAAACAGTTCATTGTGAAAAAAATATCAAAACTTAAATTTCACGTCAAGCTCGAGTTATAGATTTTATCATTTTTTATATTGAATCTTGTACGAGGATTGGACAAATTTTTATTTCAAAAAACAGCTGGCCTTAAAGCTCTTGGAATTTCGAGAATAAATTATGACCGGCGTTTTTTTGGTACAATTAACCCTATTTGAGAAAACTGGATCAATGCGAAAAACTTTTGTATCGCTGGTAAATCTGATAATTATTTTCTGTTTTCGAAATTAAAAGTCGATAGCGTTTTTCGTGACCTTAACAATTTTGCTGTTCAAATTTTGCAGTTTGCCTTTCTTTGAACAATAGAAATTCACTGAACTTAAGAAGAAATCAAAAATCAAACCGCTAAAAAGTACATTTGAACCTGAACAAGTTATAAAATTTTTCCTGGGAAAAAAAATCATCACGACCCATATAATAATCTGAAGTTCGTTCATCAACTCTTTATAAAGTGAAATCCTTATGCTGTAATGAATTTTCTCTACCTTTTTCACAGCCAACCCGTGACTCCAAACTCTATCCAGCAAATCACACAAACTCTTAATCAGAGTGTTCTCCTCTTGGAGTGAAACTGACTCTTGGATTCCCAGATTCTCAACTTCTCTTCCTAGTTTCACCAACAATAACTTTTTCGTCTTAGTTTTACATTCGTCTAAAAGTTCTTCGATGAGTTTCTTTGGATTTTTGAAATTGAAGGCTGAAATATCTGCAGGTGCGTGTATTGACGGACTGATTGCTGGAAATAGATTCGTATTAGTTGGCGTTCGGCTGCTCTCTCTTTCGGCCGAATGCCCTTTGGGCGTAGCTGGTGACCCAGATGCGCTTTTAGGACTCTTGAGAAATGGTGCCTGGAATTCGGACCCTGATTCTGGTATGATAAGATGGAGATTTTCTAGCTTTTTGTTTAGCACTGTGAAGTTATCTGGGGTGTTGCATAGCACGACTGTTTGGGAAGTGGACGATGACATAATAGTGTTGACTTCGTCGACTGAAATAAATAATATTTTAGTCAGAAAAACGTGACACGATTTAAAATTCACAGGTGAGCGCGCGGGAGGAAAAAGAGCGAAATAGTTTGAGATAACCTTGACAACTCACCGCAGTGTTGAACAAACGCTTGGTCGTCATGGGGCAGTGGGTTTTCAAGGCGGCGTTTGAACACCGAGTAGAAACTTCCACCCTAAAAAGCACACAAGTTTTCTAGAAAACTCTTGAAATAAGCTCAAATGATAACAAATTAATGTTACAGTATTGTATAAATCAACCATTTAGTTACTAACGACGAACTAACACAACTATTAGATAGCTTTCTGCTTCTTGTATTTGAAACTGAACTCCTTTTGTTCGAAATATCAAGACGTGGTTCTTTTTTTTTCGAAACATCAACACGTATTTCAAGTGATCGTGGTTTAATAGGTTAGTACCCCTGACTAACACCAGCGTATCTTCTTAAAAAAAAACATATTTTTCGAATATCATACCTTCCTATATCCTGAAAAAAAAACTTTTTTGTGACGCGTGATTGGCTGGGCAGAGGGTTAATCTAGGCTTTGATATCTAGTTAAACAAGTTTTCAGTCCTTTTCGCAAATAACAGAACCAGTATCAACCCAGTTTCGTCATAGCTTCTTAGTGGTCCTCAAAGATATCCTAGTGTTCCAGATATCCTGGGTTTTTTTCCTAGTCTCCGCATGCTTTTTTGACGTACACATGCATATTTCCTTAATTAAATAATACATTTCGATCATCATACCTTCCTTGTAGTTCTCATATGGTCCAAAAATGAGACAAACATCTGAGTCTGAACGAAGTCACTCAGGAACTTCGACTCCTCCGAGGTCGCCCTCTCACTCAAGAAGGCCATGTGATCGAATTGAGAGGAGCCACTCTGCTGGGTTGCAGTTGTGTAGCTGTTGTAGCCAGAGATGAGCTGAAAGAAGGATTAAGATACTATTTTCGGACTGTCTGGAACTCTGATTTAGTTTAATCATTCGACAATCTGCTGTATTGCAGTGGTTTAGCTGTTGCAGCCAGATATGACCTATTAAAAGGAAATAACAACAAAAAAAAACAATTTTTGGACAGTCTGGAACTTAACAGTGCAATCATTTACAAATAGCGATAGCTTGGATTGATAAAAACAGATTCTTTGAGCCATTTTGCGCACGCCATTTTGTGACAACAGATTTTGCGCATGAACCATTTATCTTGCAAGGTTGTAGATGAAGACCAAGTGCATTTGGAATTGGAGGAGCACGGAAAAAAATAAATTCCCGATTAAGGCTGGAGCCCAACTTTGCAGTCGATTTCACATCGACGTTATGTTTGTAACGAGTAGCGTTTGAGATTGTACCTTCAACATGTACTCCAGAACAGTCTCCCGGATGATCTGATTCATCAATAGCGTCTGCACCTCTTCGGAGAAATCACACTTGAACTGAAACAGAAAAACAAACATGAAGATTAACTTGAACAGTTGCAGTTCATAAACAGGATGGTCGTCCTTTCCTCATGTTCATAAATATTAAAACTCTTTCGATTAATTTTAATGATTGTCTTTAATTGCTAAAGAACTGAGGCGTCGATCAATTCAAGGATTTTTCCAAGAGCTCCGATTGATTTTCTTATACTGCAATTCTTATAACATTGTTTTCGAATTAAAACAGAACACTGCGAAGGTAAATTGGCTATTTTCAGCCCCATTTGACAATTTCCCAAATGCAAACCAATTTTTTTATGCTGCAATAAAACAAATTAAACTCAGAGGCCAAGCTTCCTTTTGCGTACAGAAGCAAGAAAACGGCAAAAACGACACTGAAAAGGCAAAAAAGAGAAAAGTAAATAAAAAAGAAAACGAAGTCTTGAAAAATAAAAAACATTCAATGCGTCTGATTCAAACACTAGTAGCCCAGCTGAAACTGGAGATCTGGAGATGACTTTTGAGCTTTCTTTAGAATATATTTTACTGATGCGAAGGAAATCAGTTATTTTTCAACGAAAAAAAATTCACCCAAAACCATAATATAATGGCTTCTCTGCTAAAGTAAGAGATTTGACGCTTATTGGGAGAGCTTCACACAAATCGCATTCCTAATGAATTCTTTATCTCAAATTTAGCTGGTTAGTTTCGAGTTTATTCTGATTTCTCATATAATTCCAAAATAAGTGAGCAGCCATATGATACCAAAATAAATAGTTTCCAAAGAGTCTAAAAAAACAAACCCTACACAATCCCATATATAAGACAAGAACTTGCCATTAACTAAGCATTGAATGAAAAAAAAGCAATTAAAACGCTATTTAATTCATCTTACACAGTAACAGCATAAGACCCGATGACGACATACTTGGACAAGACACGATGGCCATCTTCGAAAACAATTAGACTATATAATGATTAACCAAAGGTTTCACAAGGCCCTTAAAAGATGTAGACCAATTAGTAAGCCTGTGTGGTACAGACCACAATCTAGTTTGTGATAACCTTGGCGTAAAATTATGTAGAAATCGCAATAAGAAAAACGTGCCTCGACCCAATTTCAGAACCCTCCTCTAGAACCAGGAGATAACAAAAAGCGTGCTCCGAAAACATTGACAAAACGCTTGCAAGAACAGTAAACCCAGACTGGGGAAAACTCCGAGATACTGTTCAATCAATATCCAGAGGCCTCGTTGAAACAAACCCTAAAAAAACCCTGGATGACAGACCATATCATAGCACTCATCTGCCAAAGAGAGGAGCTGAAAAAAGTTTCATCAAATCCAGAATACAAGAAACTGTCCAAAGAAATCAAAAAACAATGTAAAGAAGCGAAGAACGCACACATGATTTCAGAAATACTCGAAATCGAAAGACTCGAAGACGAAAACGATACTTTTTCGATGTACAAGAGAATGAAACATCTTACAAGAAAACAAATTACGAAATCGAAAGGTATTAATAATGACAAAGGAGAATGGCTAACAAGCCCAGAAGATATTACAAAAAGATGGAAACAATACCTTGACCATCTCTACAGGTTAAACGGAGAACATTTGAAACCTGAAGATAAATATACTGATGATAATCCCACAATAATCATGATCGAGTTCCAAGCTGCTCTAAAGAAACTGAGAAACAACAAATGTGTTGGATGTGACCAAGTGCCAATAGAAGCGCTGCGATGCCTGAGCAACAGCTCCTTAAGTATTGTACACCAGACTGTTAAAAATGCTTACGAAACCGGGGAACTAAATGTCGATTTTCTAACGTCGCTTATAATCGCGCTGCCGAAGAAAAAAGGAACTCTTAAATGCGATGAACATCGAACAATCGCTATTATTGCACAAACTGTAAAAAATTTACTGATCACAGTGCTGCAAAAAATAGCACCCATACTAAACTAGCAAAGCAATAAACTACAGTACGGATTCCTACCAAACAGAGGGACAATAGAAGCCATTAGTGCTCTAAAAACCATAATGATGAGTTTTGTAAACAGGAGAGAAAACCTCTACGTTGTTTTCATCGACTTTACGAAAGCTTTTGACCAAGTAAACCACCATAAACTTATCGAGATATTGAAAGAAAGGGGAATAAATGGAAGAGCTTTAAAAATAATTGTGAACCTCTATTTGAACTAAAAAGCATTAATGAAAGACGAAGAGACACTTGTAAATGAAATTTATATAAAGAGAGGCGTTAGACAAGGTTGCATCCTATCGCCTGTTCTTTTTAACACTTATGCTGATCATGCGATGAGTAAGCTGTCAAAGCACAAAGGTGTTTCTATAGGTAGAGAAGTGGTAAACAGACTACTTTATGCAGATGACACCGTTCTTCTCGCTGAATCGAAATATTATTTGCAAGAACTTCCAGATGAACTCGTCAACATTGGTCATGAATATGACATTGAAATAAACCTCAAGAAAACAAAATCAATGAAATTAGATTTTCCAGGTTCTGACATGGAACCGATCGACCTGAAGCTTGGAGGAAGTCTAGTCGAAGAAGTTAAACTTTTCAAATATCATGGAGTGAATCTTAGTTCAGATCTGTCAGATCTCACGGAAGTTAAATGCCGTATTGCCATAGCCAGGGAGAAGTTCTTCGAGCGGAAAGAACTATTCCGCGGCGACCTTCGACTGAAGACGAAATTAAAAATCCTCCGCGTTTTTATCTAGAGCATTATAAGATACGGATCGGAGACATGGGCCATCACTAAAACCATCAGAGACTGCATAAAGGCTTTTGAGATGTGGTGTTATCGGCGAATATTAAAAGTACGATACACTGCTCATTTAACAAATTCCCCGATATTGAAACGCGTGAGTCTAGAACATGCCATCCTTTTGACAACGATACGAAAGATAAGAATGATGTATATAGGACACGTACTCCGAGGATCGTCAGGCAGCGAATTGAGAGATATCCTAATTGAAGAAGTCCAACAGAAGAATGTAGGCAAAGGACGAAGGAAACCTTTCTGGTTTGACGAGCCCTGGAGCTTGATCGAAAACAATGAAAATAAGAATATTAAACAGACGTAACTAATCAGAAGGGCGCAAAAACGTCGATTATGGAAGCAGTTGATCGACAATTACTGTTTCGTGGAACCAACTCTCACAAAGAGGATGGCGCAAACTGATGATGAACAACATAAGAGAACTTAGGCTGAAAAAGTGACATCGTGATATTACACTACGCTCCGTTAGTGTAAACATGTCACATGAACAAAATAACAGATTTAAACCAATTTCTTATGTGAAACTCGCGGTGATGCATTTTCATATTTTTTAATTTTCCGAGGTGGGTCGGAAATTGGAAAAGAATCCAGAATTAAAAACGCTAAATCACCTGATGATTGCCAGTGTAGTAGAGCGTGAGTCTATTTTGTATGTTGGTAATCAGCCTCCGCTTGTCCGGGAGGGGAGTCTGATCCTCTGGCCAGTTGATCAAGCCACTGTCCAGATCCACCACACAGAACAGTGCTTTGTTGATGTTGTCTTCTATCGCCATGGAGTCACTTTGTAGGATGTAAGCGTTGTCTTGTACGTTCACTCCTAAGAACAATATATTGCTAAAATTATTTGATATTTATCAACAATAAACATTAAAAACAAACCTTGGCAGGCAGATTTCAAATTGTGGTTTTGATGAAACTGATTTTTTAAATTCGATTCGCGATAAAAAAAATGCTGTTAATCATTATTTATTAAAATTACTATCAATGTTTCTAACTAAGAACTTAATATTCGAAAATAATGATAACAATGAATTCAATCAAATCATGAACAATATATTTTTTACACTTTTCAGATTAAAATCTCAATTTCAAGCTATGAAAAATCAGACAACTTTGAATTCTCACCTATAATGTAGGGCTGTGGCATCTCCAGAAACTCAATGTGGGCAGATGGCAGATGGGGCACATATGCCAGTTGCCACTGGAACGGATAGAGCAACCCCATCAGGGACTCAGTAGCCGGCACCAATTTCGAAGCACTGGATCAAACACAAATGTGATACAATAAGTTAGATATTTGAGGAATGCTAGTTTTAAGATGCTTTATGAGATCTAAAAGGGGGGAAGGTCTAAAAGGTCTAAAAGGGGGGAAATAGTTAACAAGATCCGATCTGAAAAACTCTTTATTTATGTAAAGAAAAAAATGAGATAAGAAGCTTTAGAAGAAAATTAGCGTTATAAGAAACTGAAATTTTCAAAATAAATTAGGAAAATCAAGAATTAAAACATTTTTTTTTTCAGAAATTTAGTTTTTTCTAATTGTTCAAGCAAACCTTGAAAAGAACATTGCAGAAACTAAAATAAAAAAATATATGATTTATTTAAAGCCCATTCAGTTTGTAATGTTTCAAAAATTCAATCTTCTTTCTGACCAAAATCCAGAAACATGAAAGCGAAAATTTAAAATTAAACTGGGATGAAATCAGTTATACAATTAATAACGAGTTTTATAAATCTAAAAATTGTCCAGCAACTATAACGTATCTTCTTCTGACCAAAATCTAGAAATTTAAAACCGGAAACTCAAAATTTAACTGGGATGAAACCAGCTATACATTTAATAACGAGATTATAACATAACTTTAACTGACCTTGCAGATTTGAGGAGTACGTATTTCTCACTCATACAACATGCCAGCATTGAGATGGAGTTGTCCAGACCCACTTCGTCGAAGAGAGACTGCTTGATTGACAGGTTGAACAGGGGCAGTTGGGTCTTGCAGTTGGGCAGATAGAACGCTGCCAAGTGGGAGGAGCTCCTAAATCAAAGTTATCTAAACCATAAACATCCACGGCTTGTCCACCATTTCCCCATCACATGCCAATTTCTCTTTATACTTTTTGTCCACGTATTGCAATAGTAAAAAAAATGGTATTTGGATAATTACGTAATTACACGCAAAAACACACACTCAATTACAATTTCGCCAAATCAATTATTACACTGTAAAATTCAAGTTCAAGTACAAAAAATGACATGTGGGTGAGGGGGCGGGTAGAAGAGACATATTCACAAGCAAAATAGGGTCTGTCATTCATATTACGATCCCCCATTAATTAACATCTCAGCCAATATACAACAATTACAGTGTTATGGGGTGATAACACAATAACTCAATGAACTTTTACGATATTTTCAGAGAACATTTTATGGATAAAAACAAAATCTCCAATGAAAATTGCAACATCAGTGTAAATTTGTAACATTGGAAAACTCGATAGTAGTTTATCGGTACTGGATACTAAGTGACAAAAAAAAACAGTAATATGTACAACATACTTGAACACAATCCAAGATGACAACTGACACTGAACCGGCAATAACAATTTCGACACAATTTTAGGAGCTATCAAATCTCCATCGCTTTGCCCACCCTTTCCAGTCCCAGACAGATCCAAACTTGACGAAGAGGCTGAAGATGTCTTCAGTTCTGTGGCTATGAAGTCCAGACATCTGGACATGAATGCATGCAGAGGGTACTGAGAAACTAAGCTGATACATTTCTGCTCGTACAGTCCACAGCTTACGTCTGAAATAATTGATATGAGCACAAAAACAATCAAATATTTAATAGTATGGGCGGTTCTTATGACAATCTGTCAACATTGGGCTTAAGGTTGCCTCAATTTGAAGCAAAGAGCATAGTTCATGGTGAGCATCGAACCCCCGACCTTTCGATTAAGGAGCTTATTTGAAGACAAGTTGATGATCATATGTCTTAAAGGTCTCTTTGTTCACGGAAGTCAAATTTAGACAAATTCATGTCATGAATAGAGCTTAGACGTAGCCAATTCACCCTGAACGCTTCATAGTATTAATAAACAACCTGTGAATCTTCCACTCTGTGTGAGCTGATTGAATTGGGGTGACTTGGCAAGTGGACTGGAATACACTAGCGAGTGAGTGAACAGTCTGGTTCCGGTCTCTCTAGTCAGAACACATGCACTCTTGAATTGCACATCTTTGGCCTGCACACGCACACCACTCGATACCTGCAAAGACGAATCAAATTTGATCAACTATCAATTTTTTTTTCATCAGGTCTGTTTTTGCAACATTTAGCAACACGCTCAAATGTTACATATGAAAAAAAATTGAAATTGACCGAGAAAAATTTCACAATAAATTGCTTTAATTGTCTTTGATGACTGATAAACAAAATGACTCACCAGAGGAAGGAAGTGGGCATTGATGAATTTGGCTCTCTTGAGAGGGTAAAAATGAACTAAGGAGGGAAACGTGACGTCACAGATCGAACAGGGATCATCCACAGGTCCACAGCTGTTGCTTTTGTTGTTCCCGTCTAGATCAATTAAGAGGCAAATAAATTACTAATTATGGACATTTAAGCTGTTCTCAAGGCGCTTGCGTGACGAGTGGACTTAAAGTTAAATTTATACGGCCTATAAAAGTCACAAACTTGATTAAGATATCGTATTTTTACAGTTAAAGGAAAGTCACAGTGAAAGTCTTAGTATTTTTTACAGTGAAAGTCACTTTTGTCGATTAAGAACATTTTTGATTTTCTTGATTAAAGAATTTTATCATCGCGGGATTTGTATCCAAAACTGTTGATAAAAGTGTCTCACCTTTGTTTGTACACACTGATGAGAAGCTTTTATCGAAGTCTGCTTGGCAAGTCACGACACAGAAGCCAACACTCAACTCCATTACGCCTCCTCTCAGCCAATCAGAATCGCTCAGTAACCATTGAACCAATCAGATACAAGACGACTCGTCCATCAATGACAAAAACACCGAACTCGAGCATCGGAACAACAGTTACTTATGAACATTCATCCAAGTTTTAATGCATTTCTTGAAACTTTGCTCAATTTCCAATTTCCTTAGCCCAATTTTTCCACACCTACATCATAACCACACTCGATTTTTCCACAACCACAAGGAATTGTTCTTTCATGAATATTTAAATAACGACTAGTTTAGTTTCCAATTCAACTTTTCCCATCACCAAATCTGAAACACGACAAGGATAGCCGGTTGCTGTGCAAGTAAAACAAAATATGCCGACCACACATCGGACTTAAGCAAAGCAATCAAAAAATGAAGAAAAACCATAAAATTGAATCAACATTGTTCATCTTGGTCACAGACAAACACACGCACACACAAACCTCTATTTTATCATATATAAAGTTCAAGAAGACTTGAATGAGCTAGTTTTTCAGTTATAACTGAGTTAAATAAGATTTTTTCACCGGGGAGGCTGGGTTTGCAAACACGACAAAAAAATCAGAACACTGGCGAGAACACGACAAAAAGCAGCTCTATAAAGTGAAACGAAAAAGTAGAATCAAGCCTCGAATTAGTAAAAATTCGGCATTTGATCCTGCGACTTAGAGATGATGCAACCACTAACCAGCCATCATGGATTCTTAACATTTCACAAACACTAGACACGAATAAAGCAGAGAACAGATGCTATGAAACTTCCAATACTACAGATCGTGATTACAGCAAAAGTGCCATCAAATGAGCACTTTTATTTGCGAGTGAGGTTGGAAAAATTAAAGTTCGTACTAATACACTCGCTAGAATAAAACATAGCCAATCGAAGATTGGAAAAGAGTAATGAACGCAAGTAAACATAAAAAAAACACTTTCTTGAAAAAAAATTCTGATTTTCGAATTTCAAAGGAAAAAACAGATGCCCTCTAAGGTTTTTGAGTTTTTCCAGAACAATTTAAGACCAGCGTTTTTTTGATAACATGAACCCAACTTGAGAAAACTGGATCAAATCGTAAAAACTTTATTCCGCAGTGAAATTTTAAAATAAATTCAACTTTCGAAACTAGAAATCGTTAGCGTTTCTTCGCGCCATTTCCACTTTCGTATTTGGAAAGTGCTATTTACGTCACTTTCAGCAGATGAGTTTTAATTGAACTCCAAAAGTGCATTATACCTAAGCGCATCAATATTTTAAGAATTTCTCATGAAAAAAAAACAAGAAAAAAATCAGGAAGTTAAATTTCGAAAAATAAATATTTAAAATCTGGATATCTCAAAAACTAGAAGGAATACGATAGTCATATTTTCGCGGTAGAATCGCAACTCAATATGGGTTTCCCGATAGCACCAAACAAATGGTTCTTTAAGGCAAAACAATTTAGAGTTAAAAGCTAAAGTGCGTTAGTTCTGAGTTGCCCAATATGCATGTATCCTTAAAACTGAGCACAATTTTGTAAATTTTGTTCATACACTTTTTTCCAAGTTTTTCTTGCAATTAAACTGTTTTCACTCAAAAAATTCAAGAATCCAGAACGTCTGTTCTGTATAGACACTGATTCAATTTTTTTTCTGCAGAATGTTTTGTTGTAAAGAGGAAGGCATGACCTTATTATATGAAAAAAAAACGTTTGCAAAAAAACTGGTTTACAAAACTACTGAAATCTTTATTATTCACTGACCGCAAACAAAACTTCGGAAGATTATTAGCATAAAGCTAGCGACGGAAAAAAAAATTGTTTCGCTGCGAATTGACCGAGACGCTGTCATATTTTCCTTTAAAAATATCATTTTGATGATATTTTTCTGCACGAGAAAAATTGAATTGACATTAGAAAAACAGGTACACCCATTTACCAGGCCTCCGTATTGAATTATTTGCTTAGTAGTAGAATTGTAACACTTAACCATCACCCCTCTGGCTATATAATATATCATTTTGGAAATCACTCCAGAAAGGTGGTCAAGTTTTGTTTTGATTTTTTACTTTTTCACTCTTGATTACTCATAACTCTTAAAAACCTGTACTAAGGCACCGCATGGGTACTCTACGGATCCGTGATTTTTTTATGTGCTAGCCGAATTCTTAGTACAACGGAATCTGCGTCATTTCAGCTTTCTGCATAAAAATTCAACAAACTAGTCTCTATTAGGCGTGAAAATGAAAACACTATTTTGTTTTAAAAAAAAACAGTGCTAAATGGTTCGCTAGAGAGGAGACTAACGCCAAATTTCATGTTCAGCATAAACCTATTTTTTTTTTTAACGAAAACTTACGTCTTTCAAAATTTGTTAGTATTGATTACATGTTTGTGTTTTGATAAAATTTCATTCGCATCAATATTGATTTAATATTAAGGCAGCAAAGAATGTGACCCCCCTGGATTCGTTCACTGTCCTCTCTTATGCAATATTAATAAACTTTGCTTAAACTTACTTAGTTCACTTATACCAGAGAGTTAAAATCTTCTTCAAAAACTTCTGATAGTTTTCAGTTATTTTCATACACGCGAAAGCAAAGCATGTTTAGAGCAAGTTAATAATAAATCATGATCATCGAAATTTTTTTTTGGCTTTAGACACCGAGGAAATAAATGTTTAAGTAATACACAGCCGCGGTTAAGCTCCCTTTGAGAAAAATCATTTCAAACTCGCTATCTCTTGTTTCTCCTTAATTATGCTCTTTGATTATTCTGTTATTTTACCTAAAAGAAAGAAGACCTTAACGTGTTTGCTCAAAAAAAAACATTTGGCCCGTCTCATTATTTTCGAGACTTCGAACGGAAAACTTTTGATTTCCTCTAAGAAAACTTGAGATTTCTTTTAATCGCGACTGAGAAATCTTTTAAACATTGCCTCACTCGACTTATTAATAAAGCACAAAACAACAAAGGCTTCGATAATTTTTTTGTTCAGTCCGTTAAGTGACAAAAGAGGCTCTTTCTACAACTTTACCTTGAATAGTCCGTAAGAAAATAATTTGAATGAAAATGTTTCTTATAAATCAGCTCAGCAGATCAAATCAAAACAATAGCTTTTCGAAACCGAAGCACTTTGTACAAAAATAAAGCTACGTACCAAAATAAATGGATATACACATGGAAAGCGCCAAATTTAAAAAACAGCAAATTTACATGATCACAAATTGTGCAAGAAAGAAAGAAGGTAGAGATATGCTATAGACAAGAAAACATTCATAAAAACTGTGGGCTCTTTTACCGTCCCCTGGCATACAAAATTAACAATTTTTGAGGACAATCAATGATTTTAGTAACTCCGATAGTATAAACTGATAGCGACAGCAACGGTATAAGTCATGTTTAAGAAAGAAAGTACAGTTGAAAGGAGGCTTGAATTTGTATTTAACAAACTTTTACGATGACAGCAACAGATGAATAATTATTTATGAGGGATGAGTTCAGACAACTTTGGAGACTATGTAAGCCACATACTTTATCAGAAGAGAAAATAAAACATCATCACCGAGTTGCATGAAAGTTTATAGCAAAAGTACGATGAACACCTATAATCAGAATTAATCTTTTTCAAAAGTAAACAATTCCCTTTTGAAACTTCGAATTTTAATCAAGTTTTAAATAAAAAATGGAGTTTTTATTCGCTCTTATTCAATACAGTTTTCTTAAATTTCGGCCTCAAAATCATTATCTGTCTTTTTTCATCACATCAGTGTAATATTTATCAATTGAGCTCTTTTCGTATGAACAAATCTCGTAAAGAATTCCATATCTGCCCTTCAGAAAACATGACGCAGACTTAACATTGAGCTATGTCTGAAGTTATAGAAGAGATGTATACTGTTTCAGAAACGTGCCGCACCTTTTGCTCACAATTCGGCAGATTGATACACATTTTCCGGTGAGTCGTCATCTTCGTTTGGCTGCTGTAATGTGGCACTCTGGATGTTCGATTCAGGAGGCGTCAGAATAAACTCAACAGGGGGCAACACGTTGTCACTGGCAAAGGACCTGACACTTCCAGGCTCGATATTGTTTTCTGACATGGACATTGGGTGTGTAATCATGGTGTATATAATATTAAACAGAGCTTCACATTAACTCCGATACAAAAATATTGGCCAATGTTCAGGCTTAAGAAAAACTGACAAAAAATTACAGCGATGTTTTTATATTTTTGAACACTAAGGCGAAGCTGCGCTTCGCAAACACTTGCGAGAAGACGACAAAAAACAACTCTATCAAGTTAGATAAGAAAAAGTAGAAATAAGCCTCGATTTAGCAAAAACTCGGCTACGTGTAGGGTTCGAATCTGCGACCTACTGCAATTCAGAGTCTAACGCACTATCCCATCTTAACAACCGACAAATACTAGTCACGAATACAGCAATTACATATGCTAACAAATTGCCAATGCGATTCGACACTACATACAAACAGACTCACTTTTGCAATTAATAATTTGGAATAAAACAAACAGAAGGCACCCATACTAACTTTGCATGTCACAAATCGCAAAACATAAAGCCACATTATGAAAAATTATGCATTTCAAAAAAAAATGCGACATATTGAGTTTGAAAATTTCTAAAATCGAGTTTTTATTATTGTGATGTTGTTTGAAACTAATAGCTTTTTTCGGTTTTGATGCATCAACTCTGTTAATATAATACTATTCGAATGTCAAAGCACATGCTATCAAAGAGTTGTAAAGGTGCCCCACCATAAAAGTGCCGCACCAATATTTGCGACTTAGGTTGGAAAAAAAGAAGGTTCGTACTTATACACTACAAGTATTTCAAGAGAATGCACGATTCAATCTTTCTCTTCCACATAAATCAAGCATAAAAGCACATTTCGCATACACTCACTCGAGGGAATCTTTTCAGAAAAACGGGAAAACCTGGCCCTTTGTTTATCTTTTGCGATCAACAAAATCCTGATTTCAAACAACATGATGACCGAAAACTGAAAACCGGGTCATTAGGTTTTCCCATTATAGCCCCCCCCCCCACCCCCCCCCCCCCATTGAAATTAAACAACAATACAGCTAAATTGAATTTTGGTTATACAATTCGGTGATTAAAATTTGCTCTGCTTTGATCAGTAAACACCGTCAACAGACAGTTGGAAAAGAGTCAATGAATGCACGCAACAAAAGAAAAAAAACTGGCTTTTTTTGCAAAAACTTTCAACTTTTGAACTTCCAAATAACAATTTATGGCATTAAGCTCTTTGAATTTCTAGAATAAATAATGATTGACACTTTTATGATAAAATTAGCCCTATTTGAAAAAAAAAACTGGATTAATAGGTAGTTTTTATTTTACTGGGAAATCCAAAAAATAAGTTCTACTTTGGAAACTAGAACTCAATCACGTTTTCCGTGACCTTTACACTTTGCTGTTCAATTGTAGAGTTTGCATTCCGTTTAGAAAAGGAAATGAACTGAACTGAACTTAAAGACATCAAAAGTTATACAGTGATAAGTGAATTCAAGCCTGAAAAAATGCAATGAATATCGTAGAAAAAAAACAAAAAAATCACCACAACCTATGCAAGAGTCTAAACTACGTTCATCCACTATTAAAAACTTCATTGGATATCTAATGCAACCTCTTAGCACAAAGGATTTCAAACATTTTTGAAAGAAAAAGAATGCAAGAATCACACACCTAAAGTAAATGGCTCCACTCCTTCGAGATCATCCGGAAAAAACGTTGAGTCATTGTCAAACACTCCTGATCCAAGATAAGATATGTTACAATAGATGATGACACGTTTGAACACAAAGGCAAAGCCAAGCTTTGCCTAATTTGCATTAAAAAGTCAAAAACTGGATTATATAAAAAAAATACTGAGAAACCAACTTTTAACCATTTCGCAAAAGTGAAAGTATGGCCAAGAAACAAGAGGACATATAAATACAAACAAGGAAACTGAAAAATAAATAGCCATAGCCCACTCACAGTTGGAAAAGAGTTCTGAACGGATGGAAATTGAAAAAAAAATGACTTGTTTATTCCAAAATCTTCAACTTCTGAAGAAAAAAATAGATGGCCTTAAAGCTCTTTGAATTTGTCAAAAAATTTATGATGGACACTTTTTTGTTAAAATTAACCCAAATTGAGAAAACTGGATCAGTAGGTAAAATTTTCATTTCGCTGGGAAATCTGATAATTAATTCCATTTTCGAAATTAGAAGTCGATCACGTTATGCAAAATCAAAATTGAGCATGAACAAATTTTAGACTTTTTCCTGAAAAAAAACAAAAATAATATGCAAGTCCTATATAAGAGTATGCACTACGTTCATTACTCTTAATAATTTAACTGAAAAATATCTTTCAGTCTTAAAAAAATTTCATTTACAACGCTAGAGATTGTAACATATCCCTCAAGAACTCCAAATTACCTTGCGGCTCACCCTGGTTTAGACCTGCTACCATGACTTGTGTTATTTGAGGCGAAAATGATATCGAGTCAGACATGGCATGCAGATCTGTATAACCACTTCCTCTATCACCCATTGGATTGATATTCATATTCATCTGCTGTTGGTCCATCGGCGAGGGCATTAAAACATCGCTGAGCACTTAAACGACAACTAATATATATTTTAAAATTTTAACACATTTTTTAAAATAAATTATTGAAACTTGAATAAAAAAAGTCAATATTTCTCAGCTCATCCCCCCACTAAAACAACAGTTTCCCCAATTAATATTATGGATACATTCAGTCCTTTTTAGTTAACTCAAATATATTCCCCATTAAAACAATATGCGTATGCAAACCGGATGAAAACCATTGTTTTTAAACTTAACTTCAAGGAGGTGTAGTGAAATTTGATTGGACGCCTTTGAAAACGGATCAGAAATAACTAACCTGGACTGAACTCGTTCTGAAAAAAGCTACTTGATGCTGGGGTACTGAGGCCGCTCAGACTCATTTCCCTAATTGCTTCCGATAACTGATTTCCGTCGCGATATATTTCTTGATTTGGAGAAGACACTACGCTCGCCGTTTCAGAGTAGTAATTTGCCAAAACCGAAATCGGTTGTCGAGTTTCGTTTCGCAACAATACTAAAACGTAGCCAACATTCGTTTTCCGTTTCTATTTGCCGTATTTCCGATCTAATTAAACTAGTTTTTTGGTGATCTTTACACTTTGCTGATCGATAGGGGAGTTTGCCCTCCTTTTAACAAAAGAAAAGAAGTGATCTTGGAAAGAAATCAAAAGATTAACCGCGAAAAATCAAATTTGAGCCTGAAAAAATTTTAAGACTTTACCTGAAAAAAATCATAGCGACATCTATACGTTCACCATCTCTTTGAATCGTAATGAAAAAATCAATGAACAATCTGCAGCAACTACAAAATTTCTTGTTTTATTCATTACCAATACGCCGAAACAAATTGAGGGGTACTAACTTGCACATTAACTCGACCGATTTAAAATTAAGTGTCTTCATGACTAGATTCGTTTAACTGGTCTGGCTCTACACGCTGTGGTCTTAAAACGTTCACAGTAAACGGAGTTGTCACCTAAATAAACTTCTGTTATGTCGAAAAAAAAACAGATGAACATCAGACATCGAAATGTGAAACTGAAATCCAGAAGACCGAAAAAATGACTTAATTTCCTTCGACATTAAATAAAAAAACAAATATATCGCATTTAAGCTTTTATATGCTCGCCACTATCTAAAAAGAAGTGAACCAATTTGAGAAAACTGGTCAATAGTCTTTTTTTAATCCGCCGTGTAATCTTAAGAAAAAATATTAACACCAACTTTCGAAACAGAGTCATTTTTCGTTTTTTCTCCCGAGCCATTTGCACTTTTGGCATAGAACCGCGAAAATTTTCTTTCCGCAAAGCAAGTGAATTCAAACCAAACTTAAAGAAACCAAAGTTCAAAAAAGAAACAATTTGAGTGAGAAGAACTTTTGGAAATGTTTTCCACAAAAACAAACGAACGATAAACTAAATGTCTTCACTTCATTCATTGGCACTTAAAAAAGCCAGCAATTTGAAAACAGCTGAAACCTCACTTTAAAACCAATTATAGGATTAAAATGTCTGGAAGAATGTAAAAAAAAATCAATTATAGACACAGACGCGAAGTTGCACATCGCAAACACAATCAAAAACATGACCGATATAACGCTACTGGGAAAAACTGAATGAGTAAAACTTTGAGTCTTCAAAATTTATTAAGTGACGCACGCCAATTATGACGCATTAGCAGTACCAGTTAATTTGATTTAAAAAATTTTACCAACTAACAAGCCTCGGCTTGTAATATCATTAGCATTGGCTGTAATAATAGCTGGTTATTGCTCAAAATGAACACTTTCAAAATGAACACATTTTATCGCAAAAAAATTTGTTTCGCAACAATACTTGCGACTTAGGTTGGAAAAAAAGAGATAGTTCATACTATAAAAAACATTGCTTGTGTGAAAAAAGCTAAATTTAGAGAGGCGAAAAGAAGAAGGACCAAAACAGAAAAACGCATTTATCAACTGAGAATATTTGGTTTTCTAATTTCATAGGACACTGATATCCAAACCTACAGAGGCATTTAAATCCCAGTGTACCACACAAAAAATATCATGTAATGTAAACTTCCGAAAAACTCATGAACAAGAAAATAGCTATGGGACGCTCTGTTTTGTTCAATTGCTTGGGTTTTTCCCCGAATCTTTTGCAGCAAAGCGAACACACTTAATCAGTTTAAGCAACCTGCAAAAAAAACAAGTTTTTGTTCCAACAATTTCACAAGTGAAGGAAAAAAGGCGGCGTGTTTTTTTCCGATTTTGAATACCTCAAAGACAGCTTACATAGGGTCCGGGTGGTACCATTTTAAACACTATTCACTGTTATTCTAGTTAAAAAATCAAAATTGTTTTAAAAAAGATATAAATTGGTCAGAAAAAATTAATTTGAACATCGAGCGTCATTTTAGGAATAATTACCTCCTTCTTGCAGTTTTTATCTAATTCAGCCGCTCTTCAATAAATAGCGTAAGCAAAAAACTGAAAAAAAAATTCGAAAAATTTCGTGCCTTTCTTCAGCGTTCAAAATCTCGAGCGTTCAAAAATTACGTGCTAAAGCAACCGACCTCCCGGAATTCTCTTAAATTTCAAAAGAACTCTTGATCGATTACCTGCATCCCACGCACTTGTTTGCGTCTAGCACTATCAAAAACGTACCAGAATTACACACAAATGACTACGAGATTCGCTGTGCAATAACTATCAAAACGTAGGACACACAAAAACATAGCCATCAGCCAGTTGAAAAGTGCGAATGAACACAAGACCAAAATTAAATGAATGAATGTTTTTTTTTGGAAAAAATACATCTTTCAACTTTTCAAATGAAGCTGTTTGATTATCAAGAATCTTGTACGATTGACGCATTTGTGATACAAAAAAAACCGGCCGATCTGGATCAAAGTGGTTTTTTTTATTCCGCTGAGGATTCTAAAACTTACACAAAGGCGAAGCTGCGCTTGGCAAACTGGCCAGAACACGACAAAAAAGCAGCTCTATAAAAGAGAAATAAATCTCGAATTATTAAAATCGATCCTACGACTTAGCTTCGATCCTACGACCTAGATATTATGAGTCTCACGGACTAACCACTCGTCCACGGACGCTTAACAAGCCACCAACACTAGTCACAAATGAAGCAGAGATCAGATGCTAAGAATTTTCCAAAACTATGGATTGACAGATTGAGATTATAGCAAAAGTGCCACCAAAGGGAGTTATGGGGACTTTTATTTGCGAGTTAGTTTAGAAAATAAAGATAGTTCGTACTAATTCACTAAGCTCGCTATTGTAAAAACCAAACACCTTAGACTGTCCAAACTTGAACGCATCAACGTTTAGTCGCGCCAATTTCGCTTGTTTGAATTTCCCTTCCACTTACGAAATGAAATTGAATTGAAAAAAAAAAAAATCAAACATGAAGCCGCGATAGATCAAATATGAACTTTTCGCTGAAAAAACTTAAAAGGCTATCAAGATCTATATAAGTATCCTCACTACGTTCATTGACACTTGAAAACCAAATCCACATTCCAAATAAAGATCATTCTAGTGCTGATTTAAATTATCCGGACAAAACTTGAATTTTCAAACGCGTTTTTCTCAAATTGAGTTAAGATTAGACAAAAAGTGAAGAGAACAAAAGTTGCTTAGAATTTCCCTAGAATTAATATGGTGCCATTGTTTCTCCGAAACTCTTTCCAAATATTTTACCCCAAAAATGGGTCATTTTGGCTTTTTTCAATTAATCAAGAATTACGCTAAAACTACTTGGTTAATTGATAAAAAAATTATAACACAGGAAGCCTCTTACGCACTTCAACAAAGTTTAAGCAAGGTTAAATCTCCAAAAATTCGCGCAAATTGTTTAAAATTTATTTTTAAACAGAGATTCTGGGTTTTATATGGTAAAAATCACATTTATTGACTATCGAGTGAAAAATTTTTCTCTTATACTAATTTTTGGAGATTTAACCCTGCTTAAACTTTGTTGAACTGCGTAAGAGGCTTCCTCTGATATAATTTTCTCATCAATTAACCAAGTAATTTCAGCGTAATTCTAGATTTATTGAAAAAAGCCAAAATGACCCATTTTTCGGGTAAAATGTTTGTTAAGAATTTCGGAGAAAAAATGGCACCATATTAATTCTGGTGAGATTCTAAGCAACTTTTGTTCTCTTCACTTTTTGTCTAATCTTAACTCAATTTGAGAAAAACGCGTTTGAAAGTTCAAGTTTGTTCGTTTTGTCCGGATAATTTAAATCAGCACTGTATGAATGATTTTGTTTTGAGAACGTAATGTTCTATTGAAAATTATTCTTTGATCTATTTTGAATTTCTGCTGTTAATTATTCAATTTTTGAAACAAAAACAATTAAAAAATAGCGAAATAAAGGGAGCGCAACTAATTGAAAAACATATACAAAGGCGATGCTACAGTGTAAACATTTGAGCGGAAAAAAAACAAAAAAGGCCTTACACTGCCAGAAAAGTAACAAAAAAATAATCAAGCACTGGGGATCCAAAATGCAACCATCGGCGGCCGAGAACCCATTATACCGATTACTTGCACAAATACTTTCCTTTCATGTCGTTAATTATGAATAATGACGTTTAAAATAATTACTTACATTTGCATCTGCTGTCGTCAGTTTTCTTGAGTTCTTTGTGAATGCGAAACGCCGCACTTTCCAAGGTTTGCGCTTGTGAAACTGGATAAGAGAAGTGGTCTATTTTTATCATTTGAGTTGCATCCATCCTTATTATGGACACCGCAATCTTGCACTCGGGCTGTGAAGTACTGAATCGGAGAAGAAAAGTACCAATCTAAAACATAAGCAACTTCAAAAAACGTTTTTTTTTCTTAAAAAAATTGCAAAACTTCAAGACAATGCTTCTAGTTTTAATTCAGACAATCAGACAGTGCTTGAACTACTGTGCTGAACAATGTGATAATCTGCTTGATAGCTAATGAAAGGTCTTTTGAGAACCAATACATCCAGTAGCAGATTTAGGGAGGGGAGGGGGGGATTGCGCGGACGCCCTCGCCCCTCAGGGATTCGACCCCCTGCCGACCATTTTGAGATATCCATGTTTGGCTGACTGACCTTAAAAATTTTTTAAGGAGCCTTCGGTGCCAATCTATACTAATTTTGAGGGGAGCACGCGCCGAAAAAACGCAATTTTTTGGTCGAAATTTTCCAAAAAGTGCCTCAAAACGCCTTTTGTTCAAAAATTTGCATGCGGCGCAGATTATTCGGTCAAATTAAGGTCTTTTTAGTGGTTTGGGAGAGCTCAGAAAATCAATTGGTCGACCAAAATATTGACAAAGTTTTCAAAATTTTTTCGAAAATCCGTAAACCTAGTACGTGCAACTTAGTAAAAAAAAGATGGTATACAAAATGAAGGGTCTACTAAACAATTACCACCCCCTTTCAAGAAAGGTAGTAATAACTAAGCAAATTAATTTAGTCGAATTTTCGACCAATCAGGATGCCGCAAAATTCAAATTTTAAATAGAGCGCTCTAGTGCCAGATTTTTGCTTTTATTTATAAGCGTGGTTATTCTTTAGTAGATACCATAGGGCGATTGTTAAGTAGATCCAAATTGAATTTTGAAAACAAAACAATTTTGCAGGATAGTCGTTTCCAGAACAGCAACTGCCAATCCTTGTAGCAATTTGACACATTTTAGTTTTCCCGTTTTGAAGGTTAAGATGTCTCACTATTTACTTACTGGTTGTTTTGACAGAATTTTTTCAGCCTGTTCTTTTGTCATTATTCCCATGTGTACTCCGTCTTTGATCATCCTCCCAAAATTCTCTCGCTTAACCACCGTATCTTTTGTACTCTCTCGTCCCCTAAATATTGAATTTTAACATTGAAAATAAAAACACTTTGAAATATAAATAACTTAAAGAAATAACTAAAGACCATATAGAACAAGGATAGCAGGTTACTGTTCAAGTATCACAGAAAGTTCCGACCATTGTCTCAAAAACTACCAAAAAATTTTTTTCTCAAATTAGTGTCGCTTTTTCTTCGAAATGTGACAAAAAAATCTGAACAAGAAAATGAACTTAGGCGTATTTGGCAACCATAAAAAAGTAGCCCAATTGACAAAACAGTTTTTAATGAACAGCAACTAGAAAAAAGAAAAAAAAATTGCAGAAAATTTTTGAATTTTTCAAGTTTCTGATTCTCAAATTGGCGCTAAAAACTCCAAAAATTAAGTCTACTCAAGTAAAAATAAGTTCTCACGGCTTAAATTGAACATTAATAAGCTATTGTAATCCTGCGAGCTCACCTTAGTAGCTTCAAAAAAGATCAAACAACACAAATTTAAAATTTTAATGTCGTTCGAATCACGACTGAAAGTGCTTTGATATGATAAAAAAAACTACCCAATCCGATGAAGATTTGTGGTACCTGATTTTGCGTCCAAAAAAAAACAAAGTTCCTCCACATTTTTCAAATGGTCGAACTAATATTAAAATTTAGTAGGCTGCATCGATTCAAATTGGAATGATTATTTAACGCATTGGAATTTGGATTAAAACCGCGCTCAAAAAAGGCACGAATGAGCGTTGAAAATCATCGATGAATAGAATAAAAGCGCGCATAATTTAGTCCAGCATGTTGGCTCCAATACGCTACAAAATTGCTGCTGGCAATTCAGAAAAATAAAACCCACTTTCGAAGACAGAGGTGAGTCTGAGCTTCGCACTAATTCTGATACAACGCCGGCGCAGCATTGCAAGCTAGTGAATAGAAAAAAAAACAGAAACAACGATGCAAAAAAATGGAAAATGATAGAATTTCAGGAAAACAGTCGAAATAACCACTAGTAGTAAATAAGCTTGGGTTATTTACCTAGCGGCCACAAGGTCGACAACAAATGGGTAGAAGCCCAATGAGCCGGGAAAAAACGCCAAAAGGAAAACTTAAAACCTTGCAACACAAACTAACAGATTTTTCAAAAAAATGTATCTTTTTTTCCATTTAAAGCAACACAAAATAAGTTAACTAGGCAGGCCGATAAAACATAAACCGAAACAATTCAGGCTGAATAAAGCTTTTAAACGAAAGGAAAAAACGAAAAACGAAAAAACAACAACTTCAGGGTTATTATATTACAACTTACCGGAATAAATCATTAAACATTTGCACCTACGATGTAGCCTGCAGACAGCGCAAAAAAAAACCCCAATTCGCAACTAAACATTAGTTTAAAAATTGCAACCTTGCAACACAAACTACATGTGTTATCCAAAAAAAATGTATCATTTTGTTCTTTTGAAGCAACACAAAATAAATTAACTAAGCCAACATGAACTGAAACAATTCAGGCCGAAAGAGCTTTTTAGCAAAAAAAAACGAACAAGAAAACCAAAAATAAACACCTCAGGTCAGGGATGAATTTTTTTTACAAACTATAGAAATAAATCATAAGAAAAAAGTCCCTGATAGGGCATTTAAGCAGACGAATAATAAACAGACAAACGAAAGTCCGACAATTTAAATTTTCCGAAAAAAAAATTTAATTTCATACTTACTGAGAAAAAAACAATGTTCATCAACTCTTGAAAAAGTTTAATGAATAGATTGTCTTGACGAATCAAACGAGCTTAAGAAACGTTAGAGTGACTTTATTAAACAAGTTGTTCAGCTGGAGAAAAATCTGTATTCCAACTTGATACCGCTCTGCGCGTTGGAAATCAGATGAAAGAATGAAAGCGCGTATGAAACTTGATAAAACTTGAAAAAGCGCGTATAAAACATGAAATCACAGATGAAAGAATAGAAGCGCGTAAACGTGATAACGAGAGCGCGTTGGAAATCATAGATGAAAGAATAAAACCGCGTATAATTTAGTCCAGCATGTTGGCTCCAATACACAACAAAAATTGCTGCTGGCGATTCAGAAAAGTTAAACCCACGTTCAAAGACAGAGGTGAAGCTGAGCTTCGCACTAACTGTGATACAGCGCTAGCGCAGCATTGCAAGCTAGTGAACAGAGAAATAAACAGAAATAACAATAGAAAAACATGGAAAATGGAAATAACTTTCGGGAAAACAGTCAAAAAATAACCACCAGTAATAAATAAGTTTGAGTTATTCACCTAGCGGCCACAAGGACGACAACAAATGGGTAGAAGCCCAATGAGCCGGGAAAAAACGCCAAAAGGAAAACTTAAAATCTTGCAACACAAAATAACAGATTTTCAAAAAAAAAATGTATCTTTTTTTCATTTAAAGCAACACAAAATAAGGTAACTCAGCCAATAAAACATCAACCGAAACAATTCAGGTCAAAAAAAGCTTTTGAACGAAAAAGCGAAAAAACAACAAGCTCAGGGTTATTATCTTACAACTTACCGGAAAAAGTCTTAAAACATTTGCACCTACGATGAAGCCTGCAGACAGCGCAAAAAATCACCGATTTCTCAAAAAAAATCGCTTTCAAAATTGGTAACACAAACTACATGAAATTATCAAAAATGCATCATTTTGTTCTTTTGAAGCAACACAAAAAATTAACTAAGTCAACATGATCTGAAACAATTCAGGCCGAAAAGAAATTTTAAGCAAAAAAAACGAACAGGAACACCAAGAAAAAAAAACATCTAACGTCAGGGATATTAATTTAACAAATTACAGTAATAAATAATAAGAAAAAAGTCCCATAAGTGACAACTAAGCCGACAAACTATAAACAGACAAACCAAAATCCGACAATTCGAATTTCTCAGAAAAAAATTTAATTCCATACTACCTGAAAAAAAAAACCATGTTCATCAACTCATAGCGAAAAAATAACGAATAGATTGTCTTGACGAATCAATCGAGCTTAAGAAACGTTAGAGTGACTTTATTAGACAAGTTGTTCAGTTGGAGAAAAATCTGTATTCCAACTTGATAACGCTTTTTAATCACAAGATAATCGAAATCTATTTGAAAAAATGTCCGTACGGGACATGAACCTCAGACCTTAGGCCAAGTCGGAAAGAGTCTCGAAGTTGCTAAAGTTCACAAAAAAGCAACTTCAGAATTTCATACAGATTTGTAAGCAAAGTTGTTGACTGGAAAAACAGCCTAGTTCCCGATTACAAGAACAATGCTCTCGCAAGTGTAATAATGAAGTACCGAAAACTTTTTCATTTCACTTACCACATCTACATAATTTCTTAATCTACATAGACACTTGATAAGTCACTTCAAAAAATCAAACGCGTCTTAACACAAAAAGGAAAAACCGAATGCCTCAAACAATTCAAGCTGATATTTCGAACATGTGCTTCCCTTAAAATTGAGTTACTATGTTTTCACATCTGCTTTTTTGAAGCGTGAGCCTTGCAAAAAAAACAAAGGTTAAGCGGAAAGCTGATGACACCTCAACACTAACATACCAGGACAAACTATCCTACAGAAAACTAGAACACCACTAGTTCGAAAAAAAGCAACCGCATGTTTAAAATTAACATCTACCAAAGTTCGGCAGAAAGGCTCGTCTGGATTTGTCTTGAAAAGCTCATTTTAAGAAAAAACACTCAAACTAAGCCCACTCCTCTCTCAAAACACAAACGCATAAGAAACTCGTTTCAACAGTTAAACGAAGCAATAAATGGCCTCTAAGCAAGTAAAGCTTTACCTGAAACCTTCTATTTCAAATACAGACAAAAATAAAGACGTTTTAAAAATTTGGGTGTCGAAAATACAACAAGACAAAATATAGCCAACAGACAGTTGGAAAAGAGTCAACGAATGCAAGCACACAGAAAATTACGGACATATTTTAAAAAAAAAATTCAACTTTCGAATTTCAAAGAAAAAAAGCTAGCATCAAAGCTCTTCGAATTTCCGAAACAATTAATGATTGCCACTTTTTTTAAAAAGAATCAACCCATTTTGGGAAAACTGGATCAAAAAGTAAAAATTTTAGTTCGCTGAAAAATTCGATCTTAAAATTCCACTAACTAGAAGTCTATCACGCTGGAGAAAAACCTTTATTCCGACTTGATAAAGCTTGTTAATCACAAGATAATCGAAGTCTTTTTTTTAAAAATGAATTTCATACATACAGAAAAAAGTCCGTACGGGACAGGAACCTCAGACCTTAGTGTAAAGGCAACCGCGTTACCTCTCGGCCAAGTGGGAAAGAGTCTCGAAGTTGCTTAAGTTCACTAAAAAAAGCAACTTCAGAATTTCATACAGATTTGTAAGCGAAGTTGTCTACTGGAAAAACTGCCCGGTTCCCAGTTACAAGAATAATGCTGTCGCAAGTGTAATAATGAAATAACGAAAACTTTTCATTTCACTTACCAATCCTATATAAGTGCTTCAAGTCAACCGCATTACCTCTAGGCCAAAAGGTGAAAGAGTCTCGAAATTGCTTAAGTTCACTTAAAAAGCAACTTCAGAATTTCATACAGATTTGTAAGCAAAGTTGTTTACTGGAAAAACAGCCTGGTTCCCGGTTACAAGAACAATGCTCTCGCAAGTGTAATAATGAAGTAACGAAAACTTTTTCATTTCACGTACCACATCTATATAATTGTTCATCTACAGAGACACTTGATAATTCACTTCAAAAAGTTAAACGCGTCTTAAGACAAAAAAGAAAAACCGAATGCCTCAAACAATTCAAGCTCATATTTTGAACCTGTGCTTCCCTTAAAAGTGAGTTACTATGTTTTCACATCTGCATTTTTGAAGCATGTGCCTTGCAAAAAGACTTTTAACAGAAAGGTTAAGCTGAGTGCTGTATGACACCTCAACACTAAGATACCAGGACAAACTATCCTACAGAAAACTAGAATACCGCAAATTCGAAAAAAAGCGACCGTATGTTCAAAAATAATATCTACCAAGTTCGGCAGAAATGCTTGTCTGGATTGTCTTGAAAAGCTCATTTTAAGAAAAAAGATTCCAACTAAGCCCACTCCCCTCTCGAAACACACAAACGCATAAGAAACTCTTTTCAATAATTAAACGAAGCAATACGTGACCTCTAAGCAGGTAAAGCTTAAGCTGAAACCTTCTATTCCAAATACAGACAAAAATAAAGAAGTTTTAAAAATTTGGGTTCGAAAATACATCAAGACAAAATATAGCCAACAGACAGTTGGAAGAGAGTCAATGAATGCAAGCACACAGAAAATTACGGACATATTTTGTAAAAAAAATTTCAACTTTCGAATTTCAAGTAAAAAAGCTGGCCTTAAAGCTTTTTGAATTTTCGAAACGAATAATGATGGCCACTTTTTTAAAAAGAAGAATCAACCCATTTAGGAAAAATTGGATCAAAAAGTAAATTTTTTGGTTCGCTGGAAAATTTGATAATAAAATTCCGCTAACAAGAAGTCCGTCACGCTTTTCATGGCCTTTACACTTTCGCTGTTCGATAGTGGAGTTTGCCTTTCTTCTATACAGAGACGCCTCGCAGACATTGGCGAGAACACGGCAAAAAGCAGCTCTATAAAGTGCAGTAAGAAAAAGTAGAAATAAGCCTCGAATTACTAAAAATTCGGCTACGTCTCGGTTTCGATCTACGACCTAGAGAATATGAGTCTCACGCACTGACACTCAGCCAAGGAGGCTTAATAATTCAAAATGTTTCTATTTTCTTCATCCGATGACTCTCAAACAACGGAAGGGGGTGCAATTTTTTTCGTCACTTTAGAACACACAAAAACTAGATGAGAAAATAATACTTATAGGTCTATACTTCTCCAATCAATAAACATATGTTTTTTTTTCAAGTTAAGAAGCCAGAGGCCTAGCCCGAATGTTAGTTATTTAAATTTAACTACGCTATTGCTATCTTACAAAAGCTCACCTTGTAAATTGCAGCGCACGTGCGATTTGAACCCACAATCATATGACTGCTGGTCACCAATGCTTCACAACGCATATCAGATACGGAGGATCAATTTGCCGTTACAACTGAGATCGGAACATTCTATCATACTTATACATCGACCAGCGTTTCTTTTTAGCTATCAAAACTATCTGTAAATTTTGTAGGATGACAACTTACGATCTTTGCAAGTCAATGGAGTCGCAAATCTCCTGGAACCAACTCCATATTCTCTTCTTACTTCTCTCAAGCGGCTCTCCAACTAACTCATCTGCTGTCATTTCATTCGAAACACTACTTGTCCTAATATTAGCATTTCTTCTTCTTCGATCATCGTCTGGAGAAAAACTGTCAGATTAGATATATCACAACTAAATTTTCAATACTTCTCAGCTTCTTTTCAGAAATTCTTATCAAATTCGAATAGCTGTAGAACAAGGTTTCTATTGGACAGCCAACACTAAGCGAAACTATAAACCACGCAGTCTAACTCACCCTTGACTCCCCATTACCCCCCCCCCCCCCTCCTCTCCCAGACACAGAAGTTTATACATTCCCCTACATAAGCGCGTTTAAATCACCAAGCACAAGATGATATTTCTGTTCTACTAACGAACGCGCTAGAAAGACCAAATAACTTGCCGCTATTCATTTGGAAAGGATTATAAGAAGGATTGATTCGCCGCTATGCGTTATAAAGAAAGACATCGCGCGTTGACCATCCCAATTGACAATTTCAAAATGATTTCCGGTGAAATTTTTATTTTAGCAAAGACATTTAACTTTTACCTATTTTAAACTAGAATAGCTGGAATTAAAATCCTCAATATTGATTGTAATTTAGCACTGGATTTTATGAATATTACATGAGGTAGTTCAAGAGGAGCAGAGAGATCTACTATTACCTCTCGGTCGTTTTTTCCTCAAATCTTGCAGTAAAGAACAAATAGCGTGATAGATCGCATCTCGTGTAAAACTCGTAATCATATCATGACTGCCTTCGTTTTCAATCTCTATTTTTGGTATTTCCGAGCTGGTATTTCCAATTTTTGATATTTCCGACCTTTCAATCGCCTGAAAAACAAAAACTTGATTTCAGAAAGATATCATATCATTATAACTAGCGCGTAACGCACCTCGGTGATTCTAATTTTTGACAACGCATGAAAAACCGCATATATTGAAAATAAGATCTCCATCCTTCTAGTGTACTCTGACAGCACCCAATTAAAGGGTTTTTAATTTCAAATTTTGTGAAGTTTTTTGTATACAAGTTTTTCTTTATTCAAATTTTGAAAAACCATAAAACTTTGTAAAGTTTTTATATTTAAGTTCTCTGAAAAAATTTTAAAATTACATAAAAAAACGTCACATCTCAGAAACTAAAGCAATAGAGCAGTCGCAATTGGACGCAAGAATTGCAGCTCTTGAGAGTAATCTCACAGTACCCAACTACAGCGCTGGAAATTTCAAATTTTGAGAAAGTTCAAATTTAAGTTTTCTAAAACTTTTTATTGAAAAAACAAAAAAAAACGTAATTTCTCAAAAAATACTTGCCTGAAGATCATATACGCAACCCCTGAGAGTGCTATAACAGCCCCCAACTAGAGGGTTGCGAATTTCAGATTTTTAAAAATAATTCTAAATAAAAGTTATCTGAAAAATTTTCGAAAAAAATCATAACAAACGTCATATCTCGAAAACTACAAAGATTTGAGCAGTCACATTTACAAGCTACACCTGCGCACAGTTAGAGCCAACCACATTTAAAATCGCAACCCCTGGTTTCCCCTCACAAAGCCTCGCTATAGAAATGAGAACTTGAAAATTTGTGAAAAATTTTATATCTGAGTTCTTTGAACATTTCAAAAAATGACGTAACAAACGTTAAATCTCGGAACCTAAGAGCAGTCGTAACGTGACGCAAAATTTGCAACTTAGAACTGCTGAGAGTTCCCTCACAGAACCCAAATAGAAAGGATATCTCATTATTTTTTCTAAAATTTAAGTTTTCTGAAAAATTAAAAAAGAAACCATAAAATATGTCATATCTCAAAAACTAGAACAATTTGAGCAGTCATAATTGGAGGCAAGAATCGCAAACCTTGAGAGTACTCCGACAGCACCCACTACAGGGTTGGGAATTTCAAATATTGTGAATTACTTTTTATTTGAGTTTTCTGAAAACTTTCTGAAAAATCACAAAAAAACGTCGTGTCTCGTAAACTAAAAAGATTTGGGCATTCATAATTGACAGCCCTGGCATCATCGCACTATTGGGTTGCTGATTTCGATTTCGGTGAAATGAACATTGAATTGAAAATTCAAAATCGAAAAAAAAAATCTTGAAAACGTTCGTTTTTTCGCGCCATTTCCACGTTCGTATTCCACGAGTCACTTTCAGCAGATGAATTTCAATTGAACTCAAAAAGTGCATATATACCTAAGTGCATTCATAAATGCATCAATATGTATGAACCTACATCTGCTAAATTACAGACTGACTTTTCCTGAAAAAAAAAACAAACAAAAAAACTCAGCAAGACCTATATAAGAGTCTTCACTACGTCCATTACTCTTAATCACTTCGTTTAATTACACCACAAGATAACCAAAATTTTTTAAACAGCAAACATTCTCACAAACTACCACGGACAGCCGGTTGCTGTGCAAGTAGCAATGATGTTTCTGACCACCTTCTCAGAAGAAAAAAAAAATAACTTTTTTCCATGCTAGTACCTTTTTTGTACGTCGTATGATGATTCAACTTTACGAACGCTCAGAAAATTATTGAATTAAGCATAGAAGGCTCCAATTGTCTTCACAAAATTAAAAAGTAAAAAACATGAAAAAATTTTCGGAACTATTGATGATGCAACTATACGAACGCGTAGAAATTTATTGAATTAAGCATAAAAGGCTCCAATTGCCTTCACAAAGAAAATATAAAAAACATGAAAAAATTTTCAAAAAATATCAAAAAAATTTTGCCAGAGAGGAGATAAGCAAATCTTCAAAATCTAGTTTTCTTTTTAGAAAAATTAAGTTTTTTTGTAGACTAAACTGCTAATTTTCATATATAGCAAACGGAACTCGATTGCTTTACTCGCTTGAAAATTGACGAATAATCAAAAATTTCAAACCGGTTCACAACTAAAAAGGCTTTAAAATGATATAAAACTCGATCCTGTCCGATGATGATTTGTGGTACCTATTTTGCGCGAAAAACAAAAAAGAAAACTGAAACACTCGGATACAAAATTCCTCCCCATTTTCAATGGTCGGAACAACAAAATGAGTTCAACTTATTTGACGAGGATTTTGGATAGCCGAAGAGGTGTCGAAAAGATTTTCCAGTTAATTTCAGAGCTACACAAATCGTTCGCGTCAAAACCCGCCACAAAAATTTGAGAAAACCCAGATTAGGAACTTTTGCAACAAGCTGAGTTCGTTCAAAAATTTTGTACCGCTAGCTAGTAACACAACTTTTCCGAGCACGATATCATCTCTTCTTAGAGCGTTACAGATAAAATCATGCAGATAATTCTTTTGAAAAAAAAAATAAAAACAACTTCCAACCTCTAACGCATTTGCCAGAACTCCTTTGAACCTCGGCATAAGCATTTTGTCCACTATATTCTCAATAGTCTGGTCTTCATCGAACGACCCGAAAGCTAATTTCCACAAATAGTATCCGTCTGGATCTATGTCCTGTTTTGTATGTGTTTCGAGTACAAAATCCGGAGACACGACAAAGACTGGGAGCTTCTGGAAACTGGCTGAAAAAAAAGTAAAATTCTACGGAATTTTTCAGTCCCTGTGAGTTTTTGGCGCAATTGAAAAAAAAAATAGGATTTTTTACTTCTCACTTAATTTCAATGATTTTCTTGCTAATAGTCGAAAAGCCTTTGGAAACTGGTTGTAAAACATTTGAAATTTTGTGCAAATTAGCTGAACTAATTCAATTTAACCTGTCTCGGGATTTGGTCCAGATGGATTCGTGTATATAACCTCTATGTCAGGAAGTACAAACTTGAAAACGAGGTTGTAGTAACTCTTTGCAACCAATTCATTTGTATTTCTTCGACCGTCTTGTTTGAAACTTTCGAATTTCGAATTGCATTGAACTTGCAGGTCGGTCCATTCTAACCAATCAATGGTTTGGTTATCATCAGGTTGACGACAAAAACGTGGACAAATGCTACTTCTAGGTAAAGCTTCAGCGCTATCGCTAACTTTCGCCTTCTTCGTTGGTTTTAATTTGGTAGGTTCCAGTTTCAAGACTTCGGTTTCGTTAGAAAGAAATGAATTATATTGCTCATCGGACAAGAGTTGCAAATTTTCACTGTAGTATCTGGATGTTACCAGAAATATTTCACAAGATTTGCAGAAATTTTCTCTTTCTGGACAAAAAATAAGCTATTAAACATAACTTTCGGTCAAAATCGAACCACAGCAAAAATCTTCATACGACCGAAACACGAAACCGCAGCGAAATTTTCGAAGAGTTAACAACGAACACCGATCTTGGAGCGAAATCGGAATCCAACACAAAATTGTCTCAATACCTTTCATATCTCTGTTTAATTGTAAACGCATCATGTGGATAATAGATAAATGACGAACTTACCAGTTTCATGATTCATTGATAGTCCTTCTACAAACAGAGGTTTGTAATCAATAAACTTGTTAAGACCAACATGTTAGTTAAGACCAACAGTTTCATAACCATGTGGTACTCATTCCCCGTTAGAAATAAACAATTTTCCACCCTTTATAAGCTTTTATCGATACAACAAACCCCTGTCTTCCACGGGAAGATTGAAGGTCATTCTTACTCGTCCAAACGAGTAAAACTTTCCGACACTTGTCTGCGAAAGAAGAGCACTAAAACCCATCTCAATTACATTCAGGCTCGAAGACTGCAACGATTTCATGCGCTTCAAAATAGCTTTGACTAGCTTTTGTCGGTCCGCGTGCTGCTCGGTACTGAGGGAATTCCTCAGATCGGTCCTTGAAATTTTTATCAGAGCACCTATCAAGTCTGTGAAATCATCTAAACAACGTTCAGATTAATAAACAAAGAGCTTAAGAGGTTTTCAATTCATTACGGAAAAACTCTAACTTGACTTTCTGAAACTTAGCACAGCATTTACTGACAGTGGTCTGCGGGTTTTTAGAGCCTGCTGAAAGCTTTTGAAATAAGCTGTTAGATGAGGTACAATATCATTATTGTCATCAAAATTGTGTAAGAATGTTTCTGTCTCCACTTTCAATTCATCAAACTGTTGGATATCAGCAGACATTGCCACTGATTTTATCGTATCCATTCAACTCATAATGACCTGAATACATGTTCCATTTGGCAGTAAACTTCGCCCAGAAAACACAGCGTCACTGTATGAAATACTTAACCAGCATTTAGCGCATGATTCGCACTTACGGTGCTTCAACCAAATTGTTGAATTCAAAATGCGCTTCCTAATTAAACAAAAACAAGGTAACATTTGTAACAGTCGCCGACTTAAATCACATCTGAGGTTAAAGAAAAATAGGCCCTATAACCATTGGCTCAAGAGTCAGGGACACTATCTCTTGTATTTTTCTACCTCAAGTGGTCGGAGCCAATTCGGTTCACTTGCGACATGAGACCAAAAGCTTTGTTACATCTTAAAGGCCACTACCAAAATACCCCCCCCCCCCACTTAAAAATAAGAACGTCCCCATACTTAGGTCCAGGGATGTCGAATACTCGGATTTTTTGATATTCGTTATTCGCCGCGGCCCAACTATTCGATATTCGACTTCGGCCGAATAGTGCCCTTACTATTCGGATTCGGCTTCGGCCAAATGTTACTACTCGAACAACTATTCGGATATTTGGTTATTTTCTAAAAAGTATTGAACATAGCATTTTTCAAGTAGAATTGGCTGGGACTTGCGTAATAATGTAAAAATCGCGCCATTTTGCCACTCCTTTTTCTTTTCTATACTCGCACTTAGCCATCTTAAAAAAAAACAGAAAAATATTGTGAAACAAAACAGTAAACCAATATTCGGAATATTCGGGTTTTTTAGCAGTGGACCCTGGATTATTCGGTATTCGGCAAAAAAAAAAATATTCGGATTCGATATTCGGATTTCAAAATTTTAATATTCGGATTCGGCTTCGAAGTGCCGAATACTCGGTATTCGGGTCGAATACTCGGATTCGAATCGATATCCCTGTTTAGGTCTCAAAATACCCCCAAAACACTGTGCCATTCCGCCGGATGACACAGTATAACCTTCCCGCGACGGAAAAAAAAGTGACTAAAGGCCTTACGAACAGAAAAGTGTTGCGACGGAGGGTCAGAATGTTCTGGAATTTTTATTTTTAAAATTTCGATTTGAAGGAGAACATTTCTGAGAAATAGAAAAAAGACGGCCATTTTGAATAAAATAGAGAAAAAACAGAACGACGCCATATTTTGTGACGAACGGTTGTATCCGAGACGAGAAAATTACGGAGCCTCTTATCGTGGCAATAACACACGATAAGGACCTTAGTGACGGATATTTGTGGAGACGGAGGCTTCAGTGGGGGGAAGAGAAATACCACGGAACCCTCCCGGGACACGAAATATAGGAGATAAGAGTGTTGTCTCAAGAAAATCACGGGAGCGGAGGCTTGGTCCCCCAGAGACTGTTATATGTGAAGGGACTGTGTAAACTAGCCATAACAGTTGCTGTAATGTCCTAGATCTGAATTAAACACCGTTATTATTTAATATTTCAGAGCATGAGTAGATAGAGAAGGGAAAAGGTCAATCCATCTCCAATGGATTTAATATAAAACTGTCACACAAAAACATATAGAAATAGGTGGTTCGAGCCGTGTTTTTAATGACAATCACGTAGTCTGAGGATCCGAGACTCAGCTATGTGGTTGTGTTCGCATGCAAACGAAAGCTGATCAAAAGTCGTTTGACTGATGGCCTAAAAATAGTAACTTTTTACTTTGCCCTAGACAGACCAGAAAATCAACTGGCAAGGTCGAGACGGTGAAAAACGAGTGGAATTAAGGTAACTGACGCCTGCCAGTCGTCAATAGGTACTTTTTCTACGCTCCGTCGCTGTGTGATATTTGGGCGAATGTTACATAGACGTTTTTATGGCGCTCCTGGGTGGGCCTGTTAAAGGCATGAAACCATCATGATCAGCAAGCGTTTCAGCGACGTACCCTCCGCTCCGGGCGTATGCCCGAGTTAGAGGCCTTAATGACCGTTTTCGTACTAGGGGGAAGGTGCGTACCCCTCCGTCTAGTACGATTTAGCTTTTTAACTTAGTTAACACCGAAAATTCCGGGGGTCGGAGGGTTAGGTGGGAAATCTAGAGCCCGCTTGTCCTGAGGTCCCAGGACCAAAAACAATTAAAGAGAAAGCGTAAAACCAAACAAAAAATAGTGTATAACCAAGAAAAAGCCAAAAATAATTATTTAAAAACAAAAAAAAGTACAAAAAACAGTAAAAAATCCAAAAAAGACCAAAAACAGTAAAAAAACATAAAGTGACAGTTTATATGTTATTTCCGGACGAGATGTGATCTGACCTTCCTATTTGTTGTTGTTTCAGATTGATTTATATCGTTTCTGATAGAGAGATTGTGTGTTTTGGTGAAGGGTTGGGTACCCTCCCTCGAGTGTAATTTGAGTGTTTAAGCACGTTAATGGTGATTTTGCCGGTGACCGGAGGGTAGAGTGGCAGGCTGATCAACGTGTTCCACACTCAACAGGGACATCAAGGACAACATCCGCAACGACTGTTGGGTATCGTTGAAGCAATTTTAGTATCGTTCGGGTACTATTTCCTTAAAACTTAAGTGGTGGGGGGCACGATTGGCGCGGTCCGATTGTACCCTCCATCGATTACAAATTTCCGAGTTAAGGGTCTTAATTCGAATATTTTGGTGCAAAGGAGGGTATAGTACTATTTATTAACGACTATTTATAGATTATTGTCCTTACTATATATTACTTATCTCCTATTTAGACCCAAGAAACACCCATTTTTTGTCGAAAATTACCAATTTTCGACCAAACTGTAGAACCCCAAATTTTCGGATATCCGAGCTTTTCCGATAGGCAAAAAGCTTTTATATAGAGAGTAGCCACGTAGTTCGATCCCCTTTATTAAAGAAACCGCGTGAGCAAAGATTCAGTAGAAGTTAGGAAAACGAGAATTTTTCGACCAAAATTTTGATAATTTTCTGTATTTTGTCAATCTGTTTTGGGGATCGATTTTTTGAGTTTTTAGAGTTAGAGCAATAAAATTTTTTGCGTTAGGAGCGTGCTAGCATAACGTGCTCGGTTACTAGAGAAATTTTTGGATAACCCTCCGAGTAGCTCCGTGGATAGAGCTAACGACTTAAGGTTTGGAAAAGGAAGGAATCGGAGGGTCCAAATTTGATAGTTTTTGGCCAAATTTTTGTTTCTAAACCAATTTTGGTCCGGTTTTTTGCATTATTCCAGTGCCGTACAGGGCTACTACGCTCATTTCAAGTATTTTTAGGCACTTTCGACCGGAATTGCGAAAAAAGTCTTTCAGATCCTACACAGGTGGTGAAAAAGGCCATTTTGACGAACGCGTTTTTGGCGATTTCTCAAAGACTAGTTATCCGATCGGGATAATTTTGGTACCATAAGTCGACGTTTTTGACCACTTTTCCGAATCGCAACCGTTTTTGGGTTGATTATTTCGGAAAAGAAAAATTTTTTAGAATTTGTTGGTTCGGAGGGTCCAAGTAACGGGCAACCCTCCGAGCGGCAGAAAATTTTATCAAAACATCTTTTTATTCAACTGGGAAGGTTGACCGTGTCAGCCAACCTAGTCTTAAGTCAGGTAGACCGCTTTCAGAGGCTTTACTGCGGTGATTTAACCCTTTTTCTTGATTTTAGGGGGAACCCTCCGAAGTGACCCTCCGGAGTCAGCTAAACCCTTTAGCAACCCTCCTTAGTGGAAAATTTCCACGAGATCACCCTAAGAAGTTGAAACAGCTCCCCCTAGAACCCTTAGCTTATTTTGACGCTTTTTGAAGCTAGTAGGAGAACCTTCCAAGTGAGATCAGAAAATTTGAAAATTTTGGAGGTACCCTCCGAAGTGACCCTCCGGAGCGTATTAAGCATCTTATTGACCCTCCTTAGTAAATTTAAGGGGACCCTCCGAAGTAACTTGGGTGATTAAGATACCCTCCTAAGTAACTTGAGTGATTGAGGTACCCTCCGAGGTAACCCTCCGGAGTGTCTTAAACCTTCTAGCGACCCTCCTTGTAAGAGACTTGAGTAAACCTTCTGTGGCAATTTGGGAAACGGAAAATATCCATTTAATTAGGATCATATTAGGATATTAGGCGTGCTTATCAGGATCATAAGAATCCATTCTGACCCGGAAATTCGTGATCAACTTTGGATTCTATATTGGGTGTATTAGAAGTACCCGAACAAAATTTTTTTTTTGGATTGTGATTTTGGTTGAGTGGTTGCCTTGAGCTACTTAATAGGAAAGTTCGGGCAATCCGGGAACAAATAAAGGAAGACCTCGGTGGGTGTATTAAGCAAATACACACCCACTTGAGAAGAAGAATTGTTCCCTACTCTCGTGCACTTGGAGCAGTCCGGGTGTGGGAGAGCTTTTTCATAGATTTGACGAATTTTCGACCAAGAGGTTGCCTTGAGCTACTTAGTAGGACAGCTCGGGCAATCGCAGGACACCTAAAAGAAGACCTCGGTGGGTGTATTAGGCAAATACACACCCACTTGAGAAGACTGTGTCCTGGGCTTCGTTCTTTCGGATCGTTCCGATTGGGGGAAGTCTTTTTCTTTAAGACTAAGTTTTATTTATCTATTTCTGAATCATCACTGCTTTTTATCGAAGATTGTTTAATTTTAACAAAGCAGTGACTTGATAAATTGTGTGGCGATAAATTGATACTGACAAAAGGTCGCTGTCACCTGTAGGATATTCTTATCTGATTATCGATTGTGTTTTGTGTGTCGATTATATCTTGTGGAAACTTAGTGATACTGTTATACTATACAACCGGGTTGAGTTAGCATTATATCAATACTGGGTAGACCCTGTGTGTAACTTTAGCTGAGTCACTAATTTAGTCGTGAGAGATCTAAGAGACATTTTGATACTGACGGAATCGAGTAGGCAGCGTTAAGTGATTTAACTAGATCTTGTTTGTGGTACGTTTGCATTGCCATCAAATTACGAATACTTTCATTTTGTACAAAACTATGCAGCGCAGGGACTCGTTAGGATCGACTACTAAAATTCCCAGGCTAAGCAAGGGAAGCAC